ATTTTACAAACATTGATATCAGCTCACTGAATCTTTCATTTCTCTCAATAATTTAATAACAGAAAACCAGAACGATGTGACGACAATAATTCTAAATTTTATGACTTAGTAAAAAAAAAACTACTAGGATCCCTAACATTGAATGAAATAAGGCAAAGAAAAATTTACCATCTGAATAATTGATACTGATTAAAGATAGTATGTATATGCATTAATTAGATTATGAAATAAAAATATTATGAAAATAAGAAAGGATGGAAATTTGTTCAAATAAAATTGAATATTTTCTACACCAAAAAATAACGACAAATTTAAGAATAAAATTATATGACTGTGAATAAAGTTAAATTTTGTTTAGCAAAATAAAATTTAAATTAGAAATGGATAATTCATCTGTCAGAAAAAAATAAATATAATCTAATAATGTAAAATAACTAAAATTACAATTCAAACAATTTGATCGATATTGATAGAATTTTTTAATCCGAATTTTCTATGCAACTTTTATGCCACTTCTTTTAATCTTATTATGTATTTTCATTTCAATTCTTTTGATATTATTTTATTTATATTCGGATATTTTTGTTTGATTCTAAAGTTTAGAATTTCATTGAATTAAATGGATTCATTATTCATATACATTCCATTCATTATGGAAGGATTTCAGATGATCAAATGTAATACCTGTATTAAATTAATTAGTTCTATGTAGTAGTAAGTATTACGTTTATTATGATAAGTGTAATGAATGTTATATAGTATAATGAATTATTAATTATGATTTTTCTCATTAATTTTTTGCTATAATTATATAAAACTGGAAAAAAAGCCTATTTTTCCCTTCTCTCCATTTCTCTTTATTTTGTATTATTCCTTCAAAAATTAGAAAATTATAATTATTGTATAATAGGATTGATAACATAGGTTCTGTTTGAAGTCATAAGTTTCGTTAAAATTTCAACAATCAATTTCATTAACACTCATTAATCATCAATTAGAATCATTCTGTATCACAATGAAAAGAAATTTTTCGAAAATAATAAATGAAGAAATTGTCGAAAATCATCGAGCATATTACAATGCAACGTATCTTTGAAACCTTTTACGTGAAATATCGAATTTAATTCATTTAATTCTAATTTATATATTAATTAAGTTTTTATTATAATTTCAATTTTTCAATTATAACGGTTTGACAAAATTTTTTATGATTTTGCTATGAAAATTATTGGCAGGTAGAGACAGATATTAATTACAGCATTCATTAATTTCTTCATTCATCAACAATATATTGCAAATAAATTATGAATAAATTTTATGCAGTTTTAATGAGAAAAACTAAAATGAAAATTGCTCTTTAAATTTGCAAAAAAACAAAAATATCATAATTATTAAATATCATTTGAATCATAATGCTTGTTGACAGCAAAATAATGGCAAAGCTGTCAACATCATTTTATATTTTTTGCCCAATTTTTCCATTAGAATTGTATAATCGATATATTTGATCAATGTATTATATAACCAATGTTCGTTTATTTTTTTTTTACTTCATTTCTTTCCTCTTCCTTCCTCATTTTAGTTGTTTTCCTTCTATAAAAATAAACTTTACCGTTAAGAATTAATTATATTCATTATTCATTAATGATTTACCTGTGTATCAAAAAATAAAAATTCTTCGGTAATAACAACATAAACAAAAAGAAAAATTCAATTGAATTAATTAAATGTATATTTTGTGCAATATATTCTTAAACTATTCTTATGTATCAGATATGAATCAAATAAAATAATATCATTTTAAATAAAATTCATATCATATAAATTTTATCAAATTAATTATCAGATAAATTAACATATTCTTAATAATTTTTTCTAATGAATTTTAATAAAATTTAATTTCGTTCCTGTTTTGCTTGAAAACAAAAAAAGATAATTGCATAAATTCTGAGAACTAATCACATATTTAATATACGATAAATTCCAACAAAATCTACTGACATAAAATATCACATCATAAATTCATTTTTTCATCTAGGAGAAAACTATCATAATATTATGAATTATCACGGTAACCTATTTGTATCTTTGATTTTAAAAATATCATCTATTTAATCTGTTAATTTATCACTTCACATGATTGAAGATTGAATCTTTGGTATCTCAATTTATGCAAACTATGCAATCGATTCTATTCTAAGAAAAATTCGATTAACTTTTATATTTATCATAAGTTTTCTATCTATCTATCTATCTATATATATATATATATATAGGCATAGAGCAGATATATATGTCTGTTAATTTATTACTATTCTATTAATTTACCACTTCATATGAATGAAGAATGAATCTTTATATGATGCAGATTTCAAGTTTATTCAGTTGATTCAGTTTCATTTAAAGAATTTTCAAATATATTTGGAAAATGAACAACAGTAAGAAGGAAAAAGTTTCTTTAAATTATAAATTATGCTAAGGTAATATAGTTATGTCTAAGGTAATATAATAATATAATAAATTCAAAAAATAATTTTTCAATTTTTTTAAATTCAATTAATTAAAATTTTTTTTCTATAAATTATCAATAATTCTTTTCATCCTCTAAAAATAAACATAAAATTTTATTTTTGGCGATAAAAAAATAATAAATGTATTCATAGTAAAATAAATCTGTCAATATTATTTAAACAAAGAAAATGTTGAAATTATCATTTTTTTGTGTTAAAATGTTGCAAATAAAGTTTTTATTTAAAGCAAACTTTTTTAAAGTTTTTACCTGTCACCTTTCTATTTACCTTTAATAAATTATTATATTAGCAATATTACAATATATTTGCAGAAAAGTTGATTTTTATTTTTCTTTTCTTTTTTTAGGTAATAATTGAAATAATATTTATATTTTTTTTATTGATGAATTAAGCGATATCAGTGGAAAAGAAGATGTATATTTTTTGTTTTTGCCAGAATGAGGTAGATCGGGTATGAGGAGGAATCGGGGAGGAAGGGAGCAGGGGAAATGGGAAAAGAGAAAAACAAACTATAACGTGATCATTGGACAGGTATTCCTAGAATTCATTAGTATGTAACTTGTTTACTTCATTTGCAAATGATTGTCACATTTGTATATTTCATCATTCATAATCAAACATCTTTCCAAAAATTATTTTTCTATTTTGAAAACAAATACTCAAAGAGATTGAAAGAGATAGAATAAAGAATAGAAAAGGAAAGAAAGAAAAAAACGAAATTTACGACAAAATTGCTAAGATATATTGGAAGTGGAAGTACATAAATTATTTCAGGAAATCCGTAAAGATTAGAAGTTCAGTTCCGTTAATTTGGAACACTTCTGTGAAAGTGCTTGATTGAAAACAACATCATAATGGATCCGATTTATTATCTGGTTAATTTTATCCTTCCATTTTTTGTTCTATTTCATTCTAACCGTACATATATATATACATGAATATATAATGTAAATGAAATGTATATATAATAATAATAATAATAATAGTATTAATATAGGCAATGATATTAATAAGATAACAAGAAGTATGTTTTAAGTTTCAGATATTAAATATGGATGGAAATTGTGCTTTACCACCATCGACAGAACGAGAAGCTAATGAAGATGCTTATTCAAGCTGTTGCGGGTCTAATTCCAATACACATCCATACTGTACTATTAAAGGAAAGGTAAATTTTATTGAAAAAGAAATGATTAAAACAAAAGGTTACTGTAATAAGCAAATATGCTTGAGCTATATGAATGAGAGTTACTTAAAAATTTGCTAAAAATATTCAAATGAAAATATAATTTCAACTTGCTGTTGTAAAAATCATTCATTCTTTTCTCATTTAGAAATATCAATATTTCTATATTCAATAAATGATAAATTTTACTTATACCAATGAATTTTATATAAAATAATATTACTAATACAAATTTATTTATTTAATATAGCTTTAAATTTTTTGAAATAAATGAAAATGAGATATATGTATTGCTCAAAATTTCGTAAACGAAAATTTGTTATAATCTTTTCGTATTACATTTTATCCAACGAAAATGAATTTTAAAAATATCAATAATAAATATCAACCACTCTTTTACACTGCTAGTTTATATGATGTCTGCAATTTCATTAAGAAAAGAGATGCTAAAGGTGAGAGATTTAATGAATTTCAAAAATTTAATAAATCATTCGTTGATTATTAAAATTTCAAAAGAAACAAATCATTTCCATCCTAATTTATTCTCATTGATCTTTCTTTTTCACAATACGAAAATCGATCAAATTATACTTAATTATATATTTATTCATTTATAATTTATTATATATACTATACTTAATGATACATTTATTATATCAATAGTTTTCTAAGAATAATAAAAGTATGCATAAAAATAGAATTTATTATTAACAAATTAGCAATTTAATTTTTTAAATTTTTATTCATTCAAATTGTTTTTTGTTTTTATTATTATTGTCTTTTTTCATTTGCAGAAAATTTATGGAATATTTCTATTATGTGCGATGAATATTACACTATGCTCTTCACTTTCTTTCATTGATAACAGTAATCAATCACTATTGATTGTTGCTTTGATAAATTTAGCTTTCACAATCTTGGCTGGTATTGCTCTTGCTATTCATACATCACAACTTATTATCGTTTGTATCATTTATAAAGTTAGTACTACCCATTTATCATTCATTTATCACTTATAATTTATTGTTGCACAAAAATTATCCTTGAAGATATATAAAGAATTAGAAAGAAAAATCTATGCCGTTCCTTCTTCAATAATTATCGTATCGTAGAATTTTTCTCTTTTTTTGTCATTTTTTTTCAGACCATCAGAATTATTGATAAAGTTTAATGATAATAACATTGATAATAATTAACAGTAATTAATAAATAATGATTATTAGTAAAAATTAATAAAATTAATGATTATGATATTTAACAACAATAGTGATAATAGTAATGATAATGTTAGTAATAATATTAGCAATACAATAAATAATAATTAATGATAATTATTTATTAATTAACAGTAATAATTAATAACAATTAATGATTGTGATAATTAACAATAACAATGATAATAGTAGTGATAATGTAGCAATAATAGTGATAATTAATAATAACAATAATTAATATTTGATTTATTAAATGATTAAATGTTTGGCATGAGCTTTTCCAACAAATAAACATACAACAAAAACCATAAATTATGATTACAAAATATTATATCAAACAATAAGATTACGTTAATTGATAATTTTAGTACTAATTTATTTTTTGAGACATTTTCTTCAACTTTTCTTCAGTTTATTTGGAGTTGAAAAAAAAAATTAAAGTATGAAACGATTGAAAATTGTTGTAGATTTAGTTGGAGAAAAGTTAAGTTTGATTCTTTTTTTATAAGAGCTTGACTATGTAGCTGATTTTAATTGCTTTCTTTCTTTTTAATTATATGAATTTGGTGTCGTAGAAAATTATAAATGCCAATTGATTGTTAATAATATTAGGAGAAAATTAAAAAACAAAATAAAATATCAATTTAATTTTTTTTTCTACAGATTTTATATGCGACGTATTTATCATTTCTGATATGCAAATTGATCGATGCTTTAGTAATGGAACAATGTTATATTACGCCAGAAAATATATGGCTTATTATAGCACTTATATGTACAACGGTCGAAGTTAGGTAAAATGTTTTGTCAAAAAAATCAAAATGATTAAAATATTTTCAATTTGATCATCTGTCAATTAATCTTATTCAACCAACAAATGAATGAATCAAAAATTTCTTTCATATATTCCATCTGCATGGCATGTTCGCAAAAGCTACACCAAATAATCTAAGCGATCGGAATTCTTTAATTGATTTAAAAAATCAAATTCGGATTTCATATATGCAAAGACGTTTTCACATCATTTCAATTTGTCGGGAAAAAATCAGCCCATCAGAAATTATCTCACTTATCCAACTCATTATATACTTTCCATCCATTTTAAAAATTAATTTAGCTATAATTACATCATTTTTCATTTTCGAAATAGAAAAAAAAAGAATGATATGATCAAAGAATAAGCGATATGATATGATTAAGATACAATTATTTTTTGTTTCAGCTTGTTCAGGCTATTGATGAATTTTAAAGTAGAAGTGGAAGAAGAAGGAATGCAATCACCCCCGAAATATTCCACTTGTACTTCAACGTTATCTGCAAACAATTCACAATTACCTACTTATAATGAAGCGCTTAAAATGATTGAAGAACAAAAAGATGGTTAGTATTCCTTAGCTGTACGCCTTTCTTATTACTTCTAAATTTTAATATCAAATGGTAAATTTATCAACTTAGGCCTAATTAGTTTGCTTAAATTATATAACTGAAAAGCCTATATGTAATCTATGCGTAATTGCTGAGCATTTAACGGATAATTTCAATGCAATATTTTAATTGATTGTGATATTTTAAGTGTAATATTTCGATTATTTTGATTGTAAGAGTTAAAAAAATGATACATTTCAATCGACAAGATAGGAAATCATAAACACAAAAAAAGACAAAATAATTATTGGAAAATTTTTTTGCATTTTATTATGAATGTTAAAATGAGACAGTGATAGAAAAGTATATCCCAGCATGATAAGAAATATTTTTAAAAAAGCGAAATTCAAAAATTTCAGAAAGATTCAGTTAGAAGTTTAAAAAATTAGAAATTTAGATTTAACAAAAAAGGATGAGATTTTCTTTTGGGGGACTATAATATGAAAATATACATGAAGGATAATATGAGAAGGAATTAAATTAATTTCTTTCCTGAGAATTTTTCATTTCATCAAATTTAAATTTCAGGAATGCAGAAACGAAATTCGGAAACGCAAACTTTGCCACCAATTTATACTATACAAACTACTGGAATGACAAGATCAATATTTAAAAATAATTTATCTATTTGAAGAGTCTTTTCATTCAAATGAATGTATCATATGTTTAAAAAGTAAATGATGTAAAGTGGGATTATTTCAAACATGTATGCTTCTTCTTTTTTTTGATTTTTCAAAAAATCTATTATTTCAATAGTAGTGCCGATTTACCTATGTTTTAATCATATGATGATCATCCTTTACTTTTGCGATTGCTGTATCCTACATACGGGTATTAACATTACTATTTAATATCATGTGTCTGTTATTAATTTTAGTTAATGTTAGAACCAGTGGGTGCAATTGATGACGATACTTTTGGCAATCTCATAACGTTCGTAATGAACAGTGTTCCTGACCTTTTCACTACAATAATCAGTATTTATACATTTGTAAGTTAAACTCAACAATGATAAGATTTAACATCACTTGAATTAGTTAACAATAACAATATGGTATTTGACAATCGAATGTATCTCACCATTTTGATCTGCATACCTAGAATAACCTAATTTTGTTCAGCTTCCCAGCAGCAAATAGTTATTTCATTGTTTTCTGGAATGCTTTCCCTTATATTGATATTCCGCCACTGCAACTTTCTTCAACGTACCACCAGTTTTCATCAAAATAGCGCTCATGTCCAATGCTTCCCCTTAATAGAGCTTCCTTTAACCACGAATACTAGTTCAAACTTCCTTCTTGTATTTCTAATCCTCAACTGAATTTCATCCAAATATTTGAAAATAGAAAGAGAATCAACCTGGTGGAATGCATTCGCCACTTGGCGTCGTACATACTAAATTGACTTCTTTTCGAAGCACGCGGTCAATATCAACCTGACTAAAGAATGCAACCGACTGAAAATAAATACAACTAATGAAATGAGTGAAATATAAGTAACAACTAATGAAATGAGTGAAATATAAGTAAGAAATAAATTAGGTTTACTGTAAATTAACATAGCTTAAGCTAGAAAATTGGAAAAAAACAAAGTGATTAAACAACTGGCGTCAAAAACTTTTGACAATTGATATTCGCTTTTCTCGACATGAAACTATGCGACCCTAGAAGAAAATATTACTACTGAATAATCGAAGATCGAGGAGCAGATATTCTAAAAAATCATCGACAAACCATTGGCAGCTCTCTGATGCCCAATTTTTGAGAAATCATAGCACGCACATACATATTACTTAATGACAACGCTAGTGCACATCGATAACGGTCTTCTGCTGGCACAATATATCTAATCTGAAAATAAAATTATTTTACTCAAACGTCATCCAAAGAAAAAGATACGAAGAAACAGTAAGTACGAAGGTCGAAATATTTCATCAAGAACGAAATAAATGTACACCTCGTCGTGAATTGAAAGAGCAAACCGAGCGTCAATATGATAAATTTCACAAAGCCATTTCATGCATACAATAAGCAGGTGGAGAAAATCAACAGCACTTGACTGTACCACCTAAAATCAGAAAAGCGTAAATGTCGTCATATTGTCTCACAAGTCAAGAACCTCGGCAATTTAAACGCTTACAATTTTGTGAACTAAATTTGAAATCTTCTTTTCTGTTTTATCTAACTCTTCCTCAATCAGTTTTTTATATGGAGCAAGCTATATTTGTTGGGTATAGTTTAAGAAAGATTGTAGCCCAAATCAACCGATTACAGCAGTTATCGAAACATAATCAATAATGTTGAAGTGAAGCGATAGAAAAACGGATATGATTATTTAAATGATTTTAAATGATTATTTAAATGATTTTAAATAATCATTCAAAGAAAGCTTCCTTACGCCAGTCTTTTAAACTATTCCTTTTTAATCTCCGAAAAATGGTTAAGCTGTTATTAATCATGGAAATGATAATATCCACCAATTACCCAATTTATGATTGAACGTCGATATTTTTTTAAGAAATATTCATGATCTCTGATATCCTTTGGTAATGGAGTCAAGCAGTAACCAAGCTGGCAATCCAATACCGGAGTACGCGGCTTAGAATCATTCAGCGTTAGTTCCAAATAATTGAACGTATCAGATTCACTATAAAAAGCTTGGATGTTTTCTTGGTGCCTCCTGATAATTCATTTTATACGGATAATCTCTAATAGTTTTCATAAATTTTTGCTATAATTTCGCAATAAATGCGATTTACTATTATAAAAGAATATGAAAAACAAATTAAACTAAATGGATTTTTTTACTTACAATCCTCCAGCATAAAGCTGATATTCATTGCATCCATCATAAATTTGTTTAATTAGCCACTCTTTGTTGAAATCGATCGCATCCTGCCCCTTTTCACGCAGTTTACTCCAAACACTTTCATAAAGCCAGTCTTCAAAGTTTAGCGTCAGTTTCCTTCAAAACTTTTCAGCATTAATTTTGAAATTATTCATCTCGACTTTTTATTCTGAAAACAAATTCCGAATTCTTGCGTTAACTTTTCAGTTTAATATAAATTTTGGAAACTGGAAAACAAAATTTCGTCGGAGAAAATCATTGAAACTAATTGTTGTCACACAAATTTTATATACCCTTGCTGAATGCGATATTCTGGTAAGAAATAACTGCCATTCGCATACACATAGCATGCCTTCATCCTTGAAGTGCACACATTATCGATGTACCAACGAAAATAATCATTGTAATTCTTGTTCAGTTTCAAAAAACTGAAAAAATAAACGAAATTTATTGGTAATTCTAGTAACGAAAAAAATTTATTCCGCAAAAGAGTGAGCTACTTGTTTCATTCGGATTTTCATTGTTTTATTAGTTTATTTGGAATATTTTCTAACCAGAGATAGTTTCAGTTTCGGAACAGTATATAGTTGGAAACAAACATATATGACATAAAAAATGGTTATTTCTTTGTATACCGCTATGAATGGTGAAAAAAGGTGTAACTGATACTACATTTCCATTGATGCAGATTAATTTTAAGTTGCATCACAAAATACTATTTCTTTGCAATAGATTAATTTAAGAGAAAAACAAAAATAAACAAACTGAAGAAATTACTTGAATCGTTTGCCTTTTGTTGTAGTGAACAACTTGTTGCTTACGCTTAATGCTTTCTCCGCATTCATCCCTGACTGCATCAGAAATTCAGCTGCATGTACCACACCAGAACCATAAAGCCGTGCATAATTCAATACCTTCAATAAATGTGCTTCAATAAATGTTCTTTCCACAGTTTCCCAATGAATAATATCCAGCAATGTAAACTGGACGCAAATCAAATAGCCAATTGATTGAAACATCTTATATAAAATCACATAAATGAGATCTAATTAGTATTCAATATTTCGTTCATCTCGCGTTAAAGTTTAATTTTAGATAAAGTTGCTATTAAAGTTAGCCAATAAATAATCAAAGGAAAAAAAGTACGGAAATTCTACTTATCAACTAGCAAACCTTTGCTTTATCCCTGTTGATGCCAACTTCCTTCGCAACAACACTATGCAAATCACTGTGATCAATCTTACGACCTGCCAAAAGCATATTACTGAAAGGAGTTGAACCGGCTGTACCTTTCCCCACACAACAATCACCTAACATCGCTGCTATCCATTGTTCCTGTGAGTCAACATCCGCACCAACAATATGCCAATCTTCAGGACATTCTACCATTGACTTTAAGCTAGTACCAATCATTTGATCATCCTGCAGAATAGAGAACCGATAAAAAACTTAAAAAATAAAATGCAATTTGAAATTGTGTTTCAAAAAAAATTTGAAATTTCAAAATTGTGTTTGAAATTTTTTTTTATATAAACAACAGCAAAGTTTCAAAATACAAAACTCTATTTTCCGTAAATTTGATATGAAATCTTAAAATCGTCTCATTAAAAAAATCACCTGATTCTATTATATTTTTTGCATTTAAAAAATGCAGATGTATCTGTGAAACTATGATATCAACTGACTATCAGATATCTGTGAACTTCGATATCATCATTAACTAATTAGGTTCTACAAAGAGGCTTCTCGAGTAAAGCGAACGAAAAAACATTAATTATAAAATGTAACATTACCTTTGGATTAATAGCTGTTAGCCAAAGTTTATGAACAGCTCGTCTTGTTACTGTACCAGCTGGAATGATCGATGGTGCGATAGCTCCCTCATCACCATTTTCATCAAACCAGACCGTTACCTGCTCTTGGAATCGATCCCTGCATGAAGGTTTAATCAATTCGCTCAATATATTTTATCTATGAAATTTTGGAAGTGGGAAGCAAATTAAAAAGAAAATAATTAGTTGCTTCATCAAAAAAACCTGTAATTGTTCCAAAATCGTGTGGTATTTCTTGCTCGATATAAATCTGAAAACTCTTTTTTGTAGCGCGCAGGCCACAAAACACCTTCCTCGATTTCCAATTGAAAAGCTTTTGAAATTGGATCACCGACATTGTCATGTTCACCATTCTAAAACACCAAAATTGTAGTTCCACTATTAAAATAACACTATAGGAATTACTTGACCAGTAAGGTCCTATATTTTATCTTGATCTTCAACCTTTATCAGAATAGTAAGGAAAGCAACCACCTATGCAATAGAAAAAAGAAGAAAATGATATAAACAGATAAATTGTGCTATTTGGATAAAATAGAGATAGAAATGTGAAATAAGTCCAAAGCACCCAGTAAAAGCAGTGTGCTGTAATATTTTTAACCTTGAATATAAATCTTGCTAATAAAGAAATCAGCAAAAAAACTGCGCTTTATTTAATGATAATTCTTTACAAAGTACTGTGTAAGAAAATATTCTAAAAAGCGAAAACTTACAGGATGTGGCAATTTGTGAAAATTAAAGATGCTAATTGATGAGTGGGAATGTGCCAGCACAGCATTTCCCGCACCTTCAGCTATGTTTTGCTGTATTACGTTTAGAATTGCCCTAAAAGAATGAAATTTCGGTTGAAAACTATTTAATATAATGAAATGATGCTGCAATACAAAGGATCATTAAAAATAAATTAATTTACTTCACAGGAATTGTAGCTTTTACACCTCGCCTTAAGATAACTTCGTCTAATTCTGGCACATCTGATAAGGCAATACGAGAATCTGTAAAAAAAAGAGTACACTAACAAAGTATTTGAAGAAGCAAAGCAAGTTTTCACATTCATAAGTAATTATATAAGAAAAAAGCTACCTTTTGGGACCAAAAATCCCCAACCCTTATCAGTCTTGTAGTGCAAAGGATATGGTCCCCAACAAAGTCCAAATAATCGTGGTACAACACGGCTTTTCAATTTCACATCTGCTTGGGATAACTCTTCGATGGGGGTGTTAACAAGATTCCTAGTGCGTAGTAACGATTCATACCACCTAAAACAAAACTAATATATCGTGACACAGCATTAGTTTATTTTAACATTTTAAATTAATATTATACAATATTCGATTTAACTAAAACAAACAGTAAAGACAATCGGAATTAGATCTTAAAATCGTAAAACTAATTCTTACACAGGAAAGTTCTCTCCCTTACGATTGCTCCAATCCACAGACCACATCCATGGATCATATTTGTATCTAGAATGAGATCGCAGTTAAATTTGCAAAATAAGTTGTCAGGAAAACCACCAAAAATTCATGCCTTTCCCCACTTCTTAGTGTAAGTTTCTGATATCTGCCTCAGACGATAAAGCTTTAAACATTTTACGATTGAATCGGCTTTTCCAATTTTTCTACTAGTTCCCGTGCCGCATATACTACCCCGATTGCAGCGGTTCTGTTTTCATTATTTGCACGAGTTTCATTATTATCAAAAAATTTCCGCCAATTCTTCGTAACAGGCAGATAAACATTGCCAATTTCAAGCATCCCTTGCCATGTTACCGGATGCGGAAATCTGAAAAATAGCGCTTGTGGTATCATCACTCAGATAAAGAGGTGATAAAAAACATACTAGAAAAAAGGAACAAAAAGATAATCCAAAACTTGATACCTTTTTATGAATTCAGGATACAAAACCTGGTATAGTTCGAAACAAGCTACAACATCGTGAGCACAATATGTAGTAAGATCCTGAAAAAAAATCGAAGAATAGCGAAAATTTGAAAAGTAGCGACCCTAAAAGTTCGATATTCCACCATCTACTTGAAAATTTTAAATTATACAAGGAATACATCCAGTTGAATGTAACCAGCAATCTTAATCAAATGTTGAATTCGATATTATGATTCAGGATCTCTCTGATATGCTTACACATGGTCCGTACAACATATGATCAATCAGAAACCAAAAGATGCCTAGAAATTTTTGATAAACCTGGTAATGCGCTTGGTATTAATAGAGTTAATTAACCTGAAATGACCGACGTATTTCGTCGATGGGTTCTTTCACGAAAAATATTTGGAGTGATTTGTTCAATGATTTCAACGAAGTGCTACCGCACAGTTTTTCATGCAATGCACTTAATGAGTTTTTGCATACAAGTGATCGCCAATAATCAACCCATCCGATTGGCTAAATGCAATTTTCCGAATAATATATTTCAGCTTTCAGAGTGATATCAGAGTGATATCAGCGATACTGCTGAGATAAAAAGCTTTAACAATGTAATGAGAGTAAATGGTATAAATGTCATGTCACAACTCTTGCTTCTAGCAAATTTCATTTCAAAAAATTTCACATTGATATATATGAAAATTTTCCCATATAATTTTAAGATATAAATTCATATTAATTTACATTTCAAACCTTATGAAAAATTTTACCATAGCATATGAATTTTAATACTGCGGTAAATAAATTAATTCAAACACCATCAAATACTACCTTCACTTTTTTATTCTCATATTCCCATGTATATTTAAATTTTTAACCATAACCGAAAAAAAGATGGATAAATCGAAAAAAACAAAAACAATTCGGGCATTTCTGTAAAATCATACAAAAGTCTTCTAGCACATTTTTATATAGCAATCAAAGCGAAAAACTGGAAAATTCGTTGCATATCCGAGCAAAAAATATATTCTGGAATTTTGAGAAGGAAAAAAAATAAATAAGCAAGCAGAATTAGAAATAAATTCAAAAAAATAAACGAATATGTGAAAAAACGCTTACTCCAGAATCGTCCACTTCTGTATCTTTCTTCTCATACAGAGCTACTTGATGATCTGCCATTCCGTATATAGGTATTGCCATTGACATCGTATCCCAAAATCGTGTATTCGTTCCCTAAATAAAAATCGTGTATTCATTCCCTAATAAATATGTTTCCTGATGAAAGAATAAAATCGAAAAGTATATGTCAGTAAGTACTTCAAGCAGCAATGACACGGTTATATTTTGTCACCATAGAAGATACTGTTTCTTCTAAATTGATTATAGAGCTATTTCATATTAAAATAAGATTTACCTTTCTATAGTACTGCTCTCTCACTCTAGACCGATCAAAAGCTACATTGTGCCCAATAATCAAACGATGTTTCAAGTCTTTTTCATCTGCTTCAAATGCAATCAAATGATTCAAGCGATATAGCTCAGGTATATCTACACCGTTCACCAATCGACCACTGCACCAGGAATACCTACAAAAGCTAACATTTCTATAGAATATTTACCAAATTTTTAAAAATTAAAAAAAAATTCGTTACTTAAAATTCTTCTGTAAAAACTAAATTTACAATTTTCCATTATATTATAATACTTGACCAAATCATACCATGCCTTTGGCGTGACAGCGGTAGCAAGAGTCGGTAATAATCCATCGCGAACACATACCTCAACATCAAAAAATATCAAGTCTTCAAGTGGCTGATCGACCTAAAAAATCTCTTTCTCTGTGTAAATGCTAGGAACATTTGGCATTTAAAAAAAAAGAATTGGAAACTTAATTTTTGCATTTCAAGCTGAATATTAATCCTTTTTTATTTCAATATATTACTCTTTTGCTTGATATCCCAATATGGAAAAAAACATTGCTATTATCAATTCTGGTTATGTCGGACAAATTTTTTGCAGCCACAATATTTTCTTAGGAGGAATATAATGGCATAATACAAAATAGAGATTGAAAAAGAAAAAATCCTCCATTCACATCTACTGATTATAACTGCTTTTAAACAGTATTAATCTTATAATTCATGTCATACTTGTTTTGGTGGCTGGTTTATTGCATATCTTGTCCAACCAGGTTGAAAAATCCATTTCTCTGGCATAGCAGGTAATTTTTGAATAGTAGTTGCTTCAACCAGAAGGCGACGATATGGTTCAAACTGCTTGGTAGCAGTGTTTTGAAAATGATCTAGTAGATTTGAACCTTCCAGATGTGGCAAATCGAGCATTTCAAATGGATCATCTTTCACAGTATTCTCTGGAATAGGACAACTACCAAACAAATGACGGTGTAACCGTTCCGGCACCAAATCAATCTTTTTCAGAATGAATGATGCATTTTTCTCCGAAGTTGACGGTTGTTCTGCTGGTTTCACTTCCACCGCATACCACCGTCTTACGATAAGAGACCAGGTTTTACGAACCGTTGATAAGTTATGTCGGACTGACATTCCCTGAAACGGCCAATAAAAAATTACTTGCAATGAAATGAAATCGTATGATACACAAGTTTGAATGACACTTTTACTACGTTGTCCATTTTTCCCTCTTGCTGAAGTTATAATACCGAATTGATCAAGTATGATATTTATGCTTCTACAACAAGTAACATGAAGCGACCACGGGCATTAGGGACATAATGGTGCTGCATAATGAGAATCATAATACATCTTATATCATTAAATAGGTATTTTTTGCCTTGATTAAGAATGACATGCATGAATCCGTATTATGTTTAGTCACAAAATAGCACAAAATTTAAATAACATGCAGTTCAATTTCACATTTGAAAATAGTTCAAGAAAATCCAACACAAACATAATTTATTCAATATTCAATAAAAATCTTATATACATATCACGTTTTTATTCAATATTCAATGTACGATGAATGAATAAACTACCAAATAATATTCAAATAACTACTGAGCTATGTAAAAGTGTAAAATGACAAGACATATAGACGTAAAAATCAAAAACATAAACAAGAATTGAATACCTTAACTTATATACTTTTTATAGTTTGAAATTCTTATCCATGAAAAGTCAAACGGAAATCTTTTTGCTATAATTCCTCAAATATATGAAAACAGAATTTTGAGGAAAAATACTAGAGGTTATCGTGTCAATTCCAAAAGTGCATTTTCTCGTGCAATCACAAGCCTATCGAACTGAATTATGTAGGTAGTACCATCATGCCAATGTGCGCTAACTTTACATGGAAAATTGCTTGCCTGAAAAAGAATTAACTCCGGGTGTTTCTTCTGGAATAAAAAGAATACCAATACCGCAGGATGCCAAATATAAAATTCTACCGGATTTTAAAATTCTAACCTCTAAAATTGCTTCAATGATGCCAGCGGTAAACGATGCACAATTCAAATTTCCTTTATCTTTCGGGACGGATATGTAAGTATTTACAATAGGCTCTTTTTCAATCAATAAATCTAAAAAATAACCTTTCATAAAGTGACCTAAAAAATCAAATCAGAATTTAAAAATGAAATAACGACTTTGGTGGAAGCTGAACTATATTCATAGGAGACGCAAGCTATCGAATTAATATCAAAAGCAGATATGCACAAAAAGCACCTTCCACGATTTCTGCAAAAAAGAAAAAGTATTTTTCGTTTTATTTTCAATTATTTGTACCTTTTAATTCCAAAAATACATTTTATTTCCTTTACTGCTACTAATCCTCTCACTACCTCAACGAATTACGAACTATCAAAAATATACGCAAGCGCTTACACTGGCATGGATCGTCATTACTTCGCTCTAGCTTATCAGCTTCCTTGTTAAACAAATTCTTCCAGATAGTCCCCTTAACAAACATTAACATATTTAATAATTTAGTCTCACGCCTGTAACCTTTCTCTCGCAATACAATGACATCTAACAATCGACTTCCAACAAATTTCCCATAGCCTAAAAGTCTGAAATTAATTTTCCTTTATGCTCAATGAATCAATATAGTCGATGGTTTAAAATCCGAAAAGGTTCTTGCAAACTGACATATGATTAAAGAAATCTTTATTTTAATTAAATCCCTCCAGTAAATGGCAAAATTTAATTTAATGCTCCATTTTATTTGCATAATTGTTATATTGCTTTATTTAATTACTGTTTTGCCTGTGTCATGTTTCATTTTGAATTACTTCACTTACTTTTTTCTCTGCTTCACTTCTTTTTTCTCTACTTTCATCTTCAAAGATATGTGCATAGTCAATTTTTCTAAAGTCAGTAAGCAAGTGATAAAAATAATTCATAACGATACTAACTTATCTTGCAGATCGATAACTGTATTAGACCGATTATTCGCATATCGTATCATTTCCGCGAACAACAAAGCAAACGAAGAAAAATTTACCTTCAAATGACAATATAACTTCCACCGTTTATATACGGAAAAAATTATTAATGTCAATTCAAGCAATTCAAACCATATTTCTTAAAAACTTCTAATAACTCATGCTGTAACCAACCCTTTGCAAGAATGACAATCCCCATCCTTTTTAACAACCATTCTCTGGTCTTTTTCACGAACTTGTAATTCAATTTGTGTTAAATTCTGCTTTTTAAAAAAAAATCCATCAAATAAAAACCTCCGTTTTGCCTCTGCTCAACGATTTATCCAATATACTGCCTTGTTTTCCACTTCCGACACGTTGCATTTTGGATATCTGCAAAAATAAACAGGATGTCTGGTCAGTTGTATTTATGCCAAAGATACTAATTAAATGATATGACCTTTCCACACAGGTTCAAACTAATAACAATTGAAATTATAGAGCTTTTTAACAGCTATCCTTTCTTTCCGTCTTTTCGAAATGCAGTTGATTTAACGGTTAATTTGTAAAAACCGAAAAACTGGATTCTTTTTCTTCCTGCAATAATAATCTACCGAAACATATCAACGGAAACACAAATATTATATTAACACACAATTCTTTTATGTTCAATGAACGATGATGCTGAAATCAGCACAAGCGCCAATTTTCCCTTTAACGTGATTCTGTAGCAAATTTCGCGCCCAAACTTTAATTCCAGTGCAACTATATTATTTTATAATTAATAAGTGAGATCATTATGAACAATTCAATTGCCAAATTACAGATAAGTGATTTGACTATATCATAATCGTGGATCTCCTCTGAATTGTTTCAAATTACATCTTTATGTTCGAGTATAAAAGCATTTTAAGTCAAATTTGGACAACAAACTGACAATCAGTGACGTTCGAAATCACTGACCAAAACACATGTTAATCGAATTTATATTTATGAAAATAATATCAAGAGAAGCTTCACAATAGGAAACGAAATTTCTTTTAGAAACAATCCATATGCGTTCCAAAAGATGAGTCATTTTTGAATATTTCAAATCAGATTGAAATTTGAATTTAAATATAAATTCAGAAATAGAAAACTACTGCTTATCGGTAGAATTATCCCACTAACCGTGGTTCCTTCCTTCTGCCTTTACTTACTTTCTGATTCTTTCTGAATCAAATCTTTGATTCTTTTATAAATTTTATAACAGTGATCAAACAACAATTCAATAATTATTTTTTTCTTCCGTCCTAATAATTAGCAGAAAAACATTAAAAAATACCAACAAAAAATATAGTACAGCTGGAAGACTCAGGAAAAGCACTGCAAAATTTTTTCCCCTTTCAACAAAAAAATCAAAACAAAAATTCGAATTCAGAAAGATTAATGTAGTAACTCCCATCTTTTTTTGCTCACAATGATATCTTCCTCCTTAATAGCTTTCATTCCAGATCTGCCCTTTGTAACGATGAAATCAAGAGTCAAATTACTCACTATATTATTTCAGACCTCAGTCTTACTTAATAACTAATCATGACTTCACGAAATCTCGTAGTTGTTCATTGCATCAAGTCATCTCAGAGTCGTATTCCAAATATAAAAAGTATAACTTTTTTTTCAAATTTAAGAAAAAAGCTTTCCTCAAACGAAGCAACTTAATTTCATTTGATCTTTCGCAGCTAAACCGACTAAACGATGAATGTTTGTAAGAAGCGTAAAGATAAGAAAAACGCAGAGCATCAAATTGCTTTTTCACAATCACTTTCAACTACTGTTTCTGGATATTTCAGGTTCGAAATACGCCGAATTCAGCCACCGAATAAACTTCTGCTCGGGAGCATTTTGTACGTTCTCCGACCAACCAAACATTTCTCCCTCTGAAAATATACAGGATAATTTATCTAAAAGAAGTTTAATCACGTAACAACACACAAAAATACAAAGAAAAATTCAGAATATTGTAAATTTTTCAAGCCACAGAGAAGAAATAATAAATATACCTTTACAAATAAGAGGCTCCAAAACAAATGTTTTCATAATATTTACTTTCTGACTCGTGCTGAAATCAATAAAATAAAAATAAAAGGTAGGGAATTATTATCATACCTTCATATTTTTTGTATATTAAGCCATCAGATGTTTTATAACCCCACTGTTCTGGTGATATTATTTGGGAAGAATGAAATGAGAAGCAGTAAGCGGTGTAGTAAAAAAAATAACGAGAAGCAAAGCACTGACTTTACTTCCAGTTAAAATGAACGTTACTGAACTGCATTATTATCACACTTTAAATTCATATATACTATAAATTGAGAATTTAAACTATTATTAGGCTTCTACCCAGGTTTTTCAAATTTACGACAAGTAACCACTTATGTCCATCGATGCTATTAACAAGTAGTGGCTGAGTGGAACTGAGAAGCGATTGATACTGTAATTTATCAGCGGATGCTTCCTCTTTTCTTTCTTTTTGTTCATTTCGAGCTAAGCTTTGATTCGACGTGTGCGGATTTCTTGGCATCACTATTTGATTTGCCATTCTTCAACAGTTTTTGTGCACATTTTAGTGCCAAGAGAATTTTAAAAAATTACGTGCATCAAAGTTTAAATCTCAAGCAAAAGAAGTCAAGCTTAAGTTTCAAAATTATGTCATCAAATTAGAACCTATAAGATTATACAAAACATTATAAAATAAGCAAAAACAAATAAATGTCATTAAATAGAAAAAGGTGAGATAAGTTCTTACATTCCGGATTTTTTATGAGTGTTCTGCCCGCTTCCCGTTTCTCCACATGATGCTGATGCAGCTGAGCGATTTTTCCTTATGCATGAATCATTTGTCTGGCAGATATTTGGAATACAGAAACCACCAGATGTTCGCTCAGGAATCATATTATCACTAAGTAAAGGCGATTTCCGCATTTTCTGCGGAGAGGATGAGATATGGGAATTACATCCTAGCAATCCTCCTTTTGACGGAATAATCCTATTCTGGTTGACTTTCGAAAATACTTCGCCTGATTTACCAGAAACAGAATAAGTATTACGAGTACTTTTTACAGTATTACGATTTATTCCTGTTTCTTTAGATGAGGGCGCAGAAGTTTGTTTGACTTTATTTGACGTTTTTAAAGACGAGTCATTCTGATAGCCTTCAGACATTTTTGGTGTTAACTGTTGCGATGCTTGGATCAGAAAACCTTGCCTACAAAGCGATGAAGAAGGGATTGAAGCGTCACAGAATAATTCTGCATCGCTATCGTTATCAATTAGGCTTAGATCAACGAGCATATCATCTTTTTCATTACCAAGTGAAATATTGTTGAGATCACCACTAATCGCAGCATTAGAAAATTCTGTATCATCTGAGGAAAACTGGTAATTTAAAGACATTTGGTTTTTGGTTGTATCAATTTCAACAAAATTTGACTTTAGTCCTTCGCTCCGATATGGTGGGATTTCTTGGCAAGACCGATATGCTGAAACGGATGTGAACTGGGATGTTGAAAACAACTGTTGATCAGTGACCGCACCAACTGGAGAGTAATGTTTATCAAGTGTGGAAGCATCAGAAATATGAGGATTGCGCAGGAAACCCATTTCCCAATTGTCCGCATTCGACAATGAGGGTTGATTATGTAACCATCTTTTGACATCATATTGAAATCCGATTTGATTAGTCATACTTTCTAATTCGCCATCTTTATTATCAATTAATATGTCATATTTGGGTCTTGTTTTTCTCTCTAAGGCGGTAGGTTTGACACTTCTGGTATCATATCCCGAAGCTGTTTCATCCACCATATTTGATTTTAATGTTGTCCTTTTAGGTAACAGCAGTGAAATTGACTGTGTTGGAATATTCTCAACCGAACTACAGTCCGGAATGTGAATGGATGAGCGTAAATCCGATAGCTGGTGCCGCGTCCGTACCAAAAAACCGCTGAAGTAATAGAATCCCAATCACTGGAGTCTTCTTAGTTACGACAATAAAACTTTTGCATGTATGAAAATATTTTTTGCATGTGTGAAAATACTAACTCTTCAACTGTTGATAGTAACGCTTTGTTCGGCATATGTCGTCCGGTAAATTCGCATGCAAGAAAAACATGCTTTTTGTAAAGTGTAAAAAAGCTGAACCTGCAAATAGAATGATAGCATGTAATATATTAGAAAAAATATATATATATAATAGATCATTTCCAAAGCATCAATGAGACCCAAGGATCTAAAGAATCCTTCCACATTAAATAAAATTTTTGATGTGTAAACTAAAGAATGAAGACTAACCATGAAGCAGTGAGACATGATAGCAAACAGTACAAAATCTAATGATAGATTCATGGACTCGTTTAATTCCAGAGAACCTACATTAAAGAACAAACTTACGCAGCTTCGTGAGCAGCAGAAAGAGAACAACTTCCGGCCTGACACTGCTCGGTATATTTTAATCCAGCATGAAAATTACAAGTCATCAAATCAAAAAACACAGCACGGTACCATGATTCATTCATTTCTCTGGCCACATCCGCTTTAATTTCATTACTTACACAAATATCATGCACTGTTGCATAGACAACCATGAAATAATCTTCTAAAGTTGCAAAACGTGTCTCAATACGAGCTGAAATTGAGCCAATTACAGCAAAATATTAAGTAAAACGTGTCACAATACCACTAAAAAACCGTATTGTCCTAGAACTATGGAGCTATTAACACAGAGTGCTACCTCCTGGCGTCAAATCAGAAAGCGTTGTCATCAAAAATTTATACTTAAATAATTACCAGTAAAATAGCAAATTACGAATTAGGTGGTCGAGTGGTCGACAAATTAGTTTCATTTTCAACCAATTTTTTAATAAACATTTTTGAAATAACTTAAAACGAACGAATTCCATTTTCTCTTTCAATCAATGGCTACTAATTAGTCAATGCTCTACCTTCTATCTACCTTTTAGATAGATGGAAGTAGTAAATGAAATATATTGAGATATCTATGGCAACGCATCAAGCAAAGTATATGCCATTGCTTCAGAGTTCATGAAGGGAAACCCAAAAACCTACAAAATGATTTTTCATTCGCGTGCATAAAAAGAGCATCAAATGATCCGACAACTACATTCCAGTCTTTGGAAAGCAACAAAAGTTTCACACCATCACCATCTATCCTCGTAAATGCCTTTATCTCATCCCAAATTTGAGCGTAATCAAATCGAACATTTGCAGACATCTTGTCGTAATCCATCAGCAATCCAGTTATTTGCTCTACAATTATAACTTAATAAATCTTCGCATCACCAACGAATCAGCTGTAAGGCTTACTACGATGAAACCGAATGGCATACCATTTTGTTCAGTCTCTATTTTAGAGTTCTTGCACAGTATTCTATTTTCTCCAAAACCTAAGATATAGTGACGATGGTCATAAATTCCGCGTTTAATGCTGAATTTCAATATTGAAATTTCAGATGGTATGACCCGCTCATTTAAGCTGTCTTCATAATAAACATTGACTGTCACAATTATAATCTCGGAATCACGAAAAAATTCCTCCCTGCTTTCTAGGTCTGCAATATAGAAATGTTGCCATTTAAAACATAATGCAAAATATAGCAAATTATTGCAAGGAATTCAAATAAAACAGATGAATCAAATTCTTAAAATACTTTAACATTACTAAATCATCGATTTACACATTTAAATAACGGACTATTTACACATGAAGGAACCTTTTTGTATAAATTTCCACTGATAACGATCGATCAACTCTTTTCGATCATTTTCACGTTTTCCTTCAAAATCATCAACTCCAGAAAAATACTGAAAAACTGTACCAAAACCATATAGAAAAGGAAATCGCGCTACAAAATTCCAAAATTCTTGAAAGTCACAAAATTATAAAATTCTGGAAAAACTAAATTATATTTTCGTAAATTAAACAAATAAAGCAGAAAAAAAATCCCAAATAGTAATTAAGGACGACATATATTAAGGATGATATTATCAACAAATACAAATCCTGGATTCACATTGAGATTTGAGATATATTTAAGTTTCATAAGCATACTTTACGTGAATATTGATCAACTTCATCGTAACGGCGTGATGGTGGTATAATTTTAGACGGCTTCAATTTTTGTGACATACAAAGTTGTGCGAAATCCTTTGGCTTAAAAAAATCAAATATAAAGGTTGCTTTGAAGTTCAAGGAACATACAATTCTTGATATTTCGAAGTGGCTACACAGAGCTTGTTACATATGAACAAACACTTAATGAACATTTATACTATACACCACACAGGTTTAATACGTAAATTTGTCTATGAAATAAAATTCTGAAAGCTAAACTGCTCGCTGCACTCTATTTGAAAGCTAAACTACTATTTAAGTTATAATAAAAAAAGAAAAAGTGATGGAAGAAAATAGTGTAACACAATACATGATAGCAATCTGCTATTTGATTTAGATGTCCGATGCATTGTGTCACAGTAACCGGGTTGGCAATATTAAACTGATGTACGGTAAATACAAGAAATCAAAAATTTCGAAATAGACTTATTTCACCAACATGATGCTTTCTTTGACGATATTTAGACCATGACTTGTTGCATTCTTTCGCTCTTTCCTTCCATGCTTCTTTCTCTTCGAAACTCAATTTCTATATAAACAATATCTATTATCATTGTAGATTAATCTTCGATATCACCACATGTATATATAGATACATATTGAAAGCAAATTATCAATGAATACACGACAAAAGAATTGATGGCATTGTAAAATTTCATTACTTCCATCAATTATTAATGGTGAACGTTTGAAAAATGGAACATACAGTCCAGTGAGGTAGTCCAAATTGTATTAAATCAACTGCTTTCACTCGTTTACCCAATTTTTGTTCCATTTTTGGCCTAATCAAGTATTCCATGTACATCCAGAAACCATTCTGCTTATCCTTTGTTCCTTTTCCCATTGGATTCTTCGTTATTTGTTTTCCTTTTTTTAAAACAGGTAAGAGCGAAGAAAATTTCTAAAATAGCAAATTAAAAAAATTTCGGTATAAATATCACTAAAATGCAATCACGAAATCTTCCAGGCCTCCAAGCCTAAATTCATTCCAAATTTCCACAATGAAATGGTTGATATTTTGTTTGTGACATCTATTATATACCTCTAAAATTGATATCTTAATATTGGCAGGAGCCAAAAATAACGGCTTTAAAAGAAGCGACGGATGATAAGAGGAAATGATGGTATATCCCAGACAAATGATAGAATTAGCAATCAAAGTGGAACAAACCGGAAAGAAGCAAAAGGGAATTTAACAGAAAACGATATGGCCCTGTTACAAATTTGAGACCATAACAGCAAAATAGCGCTCCGCATTGGTCTGCTTGGTCTGCTGGATGGTAGTGCTAGGTTGATGTTAGTGGTTTCAAAATGGCTTGACTCTTGTGTTAGTGTGATATTTGAAGCTTTCAGAATAATAGGTTTATTTGATAATTGGGGCTTTTAGTTAGATTGATGAATGATGTGTTTAGTGCTTTGGTATATATCGATCGAGAATTTTCAACTTTTTTGGTAATGTAACAATAAGAAAAGATTTTTAACATTAGCTTAAAACTTATTTGCTTTAGGCATGATTACAGAGGAAAAAATTTGTTTCCGTGTACTCAATGCAAAATATATTTATTTTTCACGTATAATTTTAATTTTTATATTAATTGGCATGTTGTTTCTAGCGTTTTAGTCTGATGAATAATTTGAACTTTCTTCGTGAAGAACCACCATTAAATTGGCTAGATTATTTTGTCGATCGGAAGAAATTCGGAAAATTTTTGGATTTCGAGAAATCAGGTAAGAGTTTGACTAGTTAAAAAACATATGTTTATGTCTTTTCGTGAGAATTTCTCCTTTTAACGAAAGTGGCAGGCAATAACAGATAACACTGCAAAGCTTAATATAATCCTAATTTTGCTATGGTGTTTAAAGAACTATAAATCTACCAGCGTTTTATTCAATTTTTAATCATACATGTTTCTCTGCCCAGAAAATAGTATTTATTTGCACTTTTTTGATAAGTAATTATATATACGAGATGTCTGCTGTCTTTAATTTTACATAAAACGCGTTCATTTATTTAATACTATCTCATGAAAAAAATAATTCTACATAGACTCTATTTCTTTCTGTTGGAACTCTACGGAGAAAACATTTGTTTTCCATTCTCATGTATAAATTTTTTCTGCTAAAATTATGAGGAATTCTATTTATCCATTTGTTGGTTAGATTTTCCGTGATTCTGGATCACGCATTTTGCGGATTCCCTCCCGGAAATTTATTTCGTCGTTGACTTACCTGGTGTTTTCCTATCAAAATTGATAAAAGAAATATGCATGAAATGATAGTTATTTTGGTCAAGGGAAGATACATGTATGAAAAAGAAATATTACTTTCAAAATAAGACATTTTTGAGATTCTAAACAACTGTCTGCATTGGGAAATCAGTTCACAGAGCAAGCTGTGTTAAGTGATAAAGAATGTGATCTGCTAGTACGAAAAGAGTATGATGAAGGTTTGTGTTTTGGATTGCACTTCTTATGAACATTGTTAGAAGAGAAGATTGTTTTGATGAATAGATTGGTATATAAGATCCTATGTAATGATCATCTTAGAATTGTTAAATATTGAATGTGAAATCGGTTTTTACTGGAAAGTTGGAGAATAGATTGTATTTGAGCTTGTCAGAACTTCATGTTGTTAAGTAATGAGAGAGAAAATTCTGTGTAAATTGAAGCTAATCACATCGAGCAAATCTTTCTTAGAAGTTTACCATTTCAGAAGATTTAGCATACAATAGATGTAAATCAGCTCAGTTATGGTTTTGTGCTTTATCTTGCTTCGCATCAGTCAATTGGAATCTCGACCTTATGAAGCAGTGGTATGTTTGTTATAGAACTGTGGTTTTTCTTTGACGTTCTGTAAAGTACTTGTAACTTTTAGCAGAAGGATATGTAGTCCATGCGGTGCACTAATTTAAGGTGTAAGAATTCGGATTTATAATTTCATAAATATAGATTTTAATTTATGTGATTATTTTAAAAAAATTAAAAAGCTACTTTTTTGGTTCATTCTTACGAAGAAAAGGTTATGATAATGGTACAAGTAAGAGGGGAAAGGGTGGAGAGACATTCTGGAATCAGGTACAGACTTATTTCCGACAGAACTTAAGTTTACTCGATATGTTGGTCTTTGCTAGTTATTTGCAGAATTATCATTTCTTATCAATCATTTGATTCATTTATTTTGACTACAACTATTTCCTTTCCAGCTGTAACGTCATGTCTATGAAAGCCCTTATGAATCGACTTATGGCATTTTGCTATCCGACGAAAAATATGGTATGCTCGTAATTATTTTAAATTACATATGATTTTAGTGTATTATTATCAGGAAATCAATTCCTTCTATTTTCTGTCTACATCTGTAAGGAGGAAGAATTTTCATCGATTTTTTGATTTTAAGAGTTCGAGCGAAGATGTACTACTGGCATTAGCAGAATCAAAAATTGAATTTGAGAAGCCGGAACAGATTTTTGCCTGTTGGCTATATGCCACATGGTTGCTTAAAGTAGATATTGACGGACGCTTCCCTGAAACTGTTGCAAAACCGACTGTCAGCAATCCGTAAGTGCTGCTCATGTCGTCTTCAACTAATACTTGAATAATTAACAGATACATTTTCATTGATGTTTCATGCTCTCCATAAATTTGATTTAGCATCCTTGTTTTTTATTTAAGGCTTAATATACCAACGTTTATTTCATTTTATTGATAATCCAAACAATATTCGTTTCATCTTACCAAAAGTTCAACTAATTTTCCATGAATGATAATGTAAACACTTTCATTTTTAATCGAATATTTTTTATGATTGTAGCACATCAGGCATATCTTTTCTTTTGCTATTCTTTAATCCAGTAACAAAATGATATCAGAAGTTTTAGTTGGAGATGTACTCACAGGATGTTGATATTTATGATATTTCGAAACACTCTTAATAATTAAATAATTATTGAAGACATGAAAATTGAATATGTTCTTTTAAGGTTTAACCAATTTGATGCAAATCTCATGCAGGCGGAACAATTTAAAAACTGTACTACTGAGGTTGGTATTTATTTAACAATGTTAAAAATAACGGCAAGATAAACGTGTATTATTCCCGTCATATTTGTCTCGTTTATACTTATTCTTACTTCTTTCATCATTATTGATAATATGTCGGTAAGATTAGTAAAAATTCCCAAAAAATGCAAAATTAATTGGTTTGTTTTATAGTTACGAAGGAGCGTTGAAAGTGCAGAAAAGCTTTTGAAAAGAATGTTAGAATGTAGTCGGAAGGTGCATATTATTGTGCCTACAAAAGATTGTTTCTTGGAAGCTTTATCAAAGGTTTCAAGTCTTTTTGGACTTTTTTTAGCAAAGTGGCAAAATAATTCAGAAATATTTTTGCGGGCATAAGTTGAAATAAATTTGTACGTTTAGCTAATATTATGAAACTAATATGATGTTTGGAAAGCATATAAGTGCATATATATTGTTTAGTATTATTTGGTTTTATTGAAATATTTAGAAGCGTGCTAATTCCAAATTTCATACTTCTAATAAAATAATTCATGCTTTATTTGCGAAACATACTTCAGGCGCCAAATTTAGCTACTGACAGTGTTTTGAATTTGGGAAATATGAGCAGGGCTTCGGTTTCGCTCCTTAATTTTCAAACATCAAGCATACAATTGGATTATAATTTTTGGACGATGACGGTAATAAATTTACCAGTTTCTGTATATCTTCCTTTGCAGTCAGAGATGCAATCGCTTTATATTTATATGTACTTTCAGATTCTGTATTCACTGATGTGCAATCATTTTGCCGCTGGTAAAATACAAGAAACAAGAAACGACTTGGAAAAGGTGTCATTTCATATGGTTTTAATAGGATGAGATGGTAATGAACTGAAAGCACACATTAGAATTACAGAAAAGAAAATGCATGAAAACTCATCGTGATAATATGGCAGTACAAAATAATGTCACTAATGCAACATAATTGCAGATTGTGAAAAATTGGCCCAAGTATAAGAAAAGTTTATTGGATAATGTTGTGCTTAGCATAAACGAAGATGATTTGGCTGGTTACTGTGATGCGGTAGTCGTCACACATTGTCTTTCCACTCCTCGTTCTCAAGATGAACTAATGTTTGCAACAGTCAGTGAAAAGGTTTATCTTTCTTTTTAAAAAATTTAAATTTATTATATGGAATTGAAAGCAACTGGTTGTCCAGTTTTACTTTAAATATTTGGTTGTAGTATTATATGAACGTAAAAAATAGTTCATTTCATTTAGACGTTAGATATTTTGGATAATTGTTCATCGGTACGACGGTTGGAATGCCAAAGAATTGCTTGTACATCAAAGTCCGCCCTCGTAGATGACATTTTGGCCCAAAATACTGTTTTGGAATATTACAACGACTTTCCGGCTACTTCAATCACATTAATGAAATTGGCAACAAACAGACCAACTATTTCTCGTTTAATTACGGTATCGTTTCTTCTGCAGATCAATTTTTAGTGGTTGAAGTATAAGTCTGCTTTCTACCACACAAACATACATGAATTTCAACCATTTCTATTGAAAGAAGAAGTGGCTTTAATTTCGAAATTGTGACTAAATGGTCTAATGTTTCATTACTTGGAATTATTATTCAGCGCTGAATTTAACAGGTTTGTTTGCGTCTAGTGAAGAAAAGAGCAAAAGCACAAATAATAAAGGAAGTGATGCAATTTTTATCCATCAAAATACCGAATTTCGTCGAAGAAATTAACAAAGTAAGTGGCTTTAAAGATCTACACGTTATTTATAGGTTGTGCTAAGCAGTTTTCTTTCTTTGTTGTTTTTGTTTGTCTGAATAGAGAAAGAAAATAATTTAACATAGAAAGAAAATTAATTTAACTTAAGGTGAATCCCGACTGTAGCAAAGAATACGTCGGAAATTTCAGAGACATTTCGCGACAGCCAGTGCATTCTTTACCGAAAGTTGCTGTTATTAAAGGTGAATTTTTTCTTGATCATGTTGAATAATTTTCGCAAGACTGGCAGAAGCTATTTTTTAATCCAAATAAAGATTTCTTCAATAAAGAGCATTCTTTCCTGACTTTTCTGTTTCGAAATAAAACTTATAAATGGACGATAATTATTTTAAGAGCTTTTAAATGGTGGCGCGGATGTTTGGCGCTTGATTGTTTCATTTGACATGAATGAAATCAAATCGTTATTTGCTAAAATGACTGGAAAAGTAACTGTTCCACGTCGTGTAAGTGTTCATTTACACACTTGGTTTTTTTTTTCTTTTTTTGCATATGAAAAAGACAAATAGTGTGAAGACTTTTTTTTAGTGTCGAATTAGCAGAATGATTGGTGATGTTATGTCAGCGGCTGCTTCGCAAGGAAATTTTGAACACATCAATCTGATGTTGGGCAAATTGGAACAGCTAGCAATTATTGGAGTATGTTGTAATTTTGTGCTCTTGCAAGGAAATAATTTTAAAAAAATTCAGCGAAATTTATAGGTAGACTTAATAGACTTAGAATTTAAAAGTATTTTAAGGATGGAACTCAGTGGCGCACATTTTGCAATGAATGTGTGAAAGAAATGGGACCACTAGGTAAAATTCAAGAAATACAAGTGCGATTTGCTTTTGATGCTGTTCGCGTTCAGGTGCCTTTTGTTAAAATATTTGATTTTCCAAAAGAGAGATTTTTTTTTTCAAGTAGACCTTTAATTTGAAGTGAAATGAATAGAAAAATAGAAAGGAGTTTTAAAGCTTAATCAAATCAAACTCTTCATTAAACCTTGGACTTTTTATAAGTTACCCAGAGTTGAATTTAGAATCGGAATATGATCTGAATATTCGATGCTAAAATTAATTATGCGTGGTATGTTTATTGTCATATTAAAAAAAATATGTTGTTGAATTAATGGTTGAAATGTGGTAATGAGTTATCATTTAGAGGCTTATCATGCAGTTCATAAAGTAACCTCATTACTGATTCCCTAATTCAGCTAGAATGTTGGCATGCACGATTTTCGAGAGTTTCCAACAATGCTCAATTTGTCCACGTTACCCAGGCGTTGAATTCGACAGTGAAAGCATTGATACAGTCATCCATGACGAGTCCTGTAACAATGGGGAAGATGATGCTCCATACAGTCACGTTCTTCATTAATACTAGTGAATGGGATTTTCTTTTGCGCTCTTTTGTAAAGTAAGTCCATCTAATTGAGCAATTTTGATGTATTCGCTTTTAATGATTTTGGTTGGAATTATAAATCAAAGTATTCTACAATTATAATATAAGCATTCGCGGATTTTTTTATACATTTTATTTCTTTATAAGTTTCTAAAAATCTGTAAATTTTTCCTCCATTAACACAACTTATTTATTTGCTGCTTCTTCATTTGTAGATTGAAAAGTCCATTCTTGGATGCGGCAAAAATGATTGCTGCTTATATGACTAGTACTGACCCGGCAGTTGCTCGGCAAATTGTCGAAGGTCCGTGGTGGCATGTTATGAATTCAACCTTTCAAGAACTTCCATCGAACAGGCATGTGATTTTTACAAGCAAAATTTATTTTTTTAGAAATAATGATTTTTCTGAATTATGAAGGGTTTATTAGTTCTGTTTTTGCTACAAAACAACTTTTACTCTTTTTTTCCAATAAGGTAATATATTACAGTAAAAGGCGAAATGATGGATCGTTGGTTCGTGAGCAAACAAAACAGCTTTTGACAAGAACGCAATTTCTAGATATGTTACGACTCATCAAAGTAGTGATTGATTGATATTGCATATTTCGATATAACATTATATTTAAATAAATGGAGTAAAGATAAACTATTTCGGGTATTTTGCTATTTTTTTCGTTTCCAGCTGTAGAAATACCGTTGCAGGAATATCGAACTATATCTTTCCTGATTAGCTTTCTTGGTAAAATGTTTGGCGCAGCTGGAAATTTGGTGAAAATGAGGAAGGAATATGATGGATTATCATCAAGACAGGATATTAGCAAAGATATATTTGTTGAACATCCCGACTATTGGCAGTCTAATTTTGAGTAAGTAATATTTATTGATAATATCGACGAATTAATACTTGCCTTTTGGCTTTTTGGTGGACGATTTCTTAGTTTGTAATAGTATGGAACTGGATGTTTCCATATTTCAATAAATTTCATTTCAACTGGCCAGCGTACCATCAGGATTGTCTACTCATTCACTGCAATCATTAGAAAACCTTTTGGCCGTCTTGGAACTCTTGGGACAAATATCTAGCAGTTAGTTGATTATTCTCAAATACTGCCAGTCCCAGTAAGTCAGGATCCGAAGTACCGTAGACGAAAGTACCAAGTCGAGAAAAAAAAAACAAGTTGAAATTAAAATCTTTGAGCGTTTGTACTACGCTTTCATTTTATGACCACAGTATTGTTAGAACATGTTCTAAAATTCTTGATATATTTATTATTTTCAGTAATTTTAGCTTTTATCTTTTCTTTTGGTTTCTTCAGAAGAAAAGGAAGCGATGATGATCTTTCATTCAACCTGCCTTTTTTAACTGAATGTCTCGATACGGTATTCAAGAATGCGCTAATTGTCAATCCAATAAATGCATTCTGGCTACGATCTTACGCCGATTTTTGCTACGGTAAGATTATTGAATTTTTTTCATGATATAAATTCATTTTAATAATTTCATTTGCAATTTTTTTACGTGAATAACTTCAGCTTGCGACAAATTTGCCGATGCCTTGGTTCTTTACATGGAAGCATGTGTGGCTTGCAGTGATTCTCTAATGAGACCTCTTCCCGATAATGTTGTCGATGATGTAGTAAGTTGTCTTTTACAGAATTTATTGCCACTAAAATTATGTTAGATGGATAGCAGATCATGAAATCTCAGAAATTGACTATTTAACATTCTAGCTGTTCATTGGATTAAGTGAAATATGAATAACTTATTAGTAGAATAAATAAAGGAGTTATGTAGGCGCTGGGGAGCATTACCTATGATATTGATTTATCATATTATCATATAAATATATCATAAAAAGAAATATATCATATAAACATTATCATATTGATTTTTTTTCATAGTACAGATTACGAGCTTCATCATTTTTATTGAAAGTAGGAAGAAAAATATTGCAGCAGTTTGGCAGGGTTATAGAAGATGAAATGGGTTGTATCAGTTATGTTAAAATTCTTGGGGATGAGTTTTTGTGTGTGTTTAAAAATTTTTCTAGATGTGGCTCAAGGTGCAGCGATGTTTGCGAATGAGTGGTGCTGAAACTCTGAGTGCCTTGATCTGTCAACTCATGCGTAATCCTACTGAACGTTACGTTTCAACTGCATCATCTCTAATGGAAAGCCACGGTGACACACTTGATGCTTGTACGGCCTATTTCCCACTTATCAGTGATATTAATTTGGCTGAATTCATGAGTGGTTAGTACTTTCTCTTATTAATATCACCATCAGTGTCTTGAAAATAGTTAATTGTTTTGAAGGATGAAACTGTTTATTCTTTAAACAAGTAGTTTTTATCTAATGCAATTTTATCATTTCCATTTATGATTTTTCTGCATACAAAAAATTGTCTTAAAACTTTGCAAAATCGATATAGTAAAAGACATCACTCGATTAGGAGATTTAAACTCGCGCGGTTTGTCCGATTAAATTAAAAATAATGAGCAGTTCTTTGCAAATTTAGTGAGGAAAACGATCAGAACTTTTACTAATGTTAAAGAATTCTCGCCTATATGTATGGATGATTGGATGACATCATATGTGCAAATTAAAGGCTATCAAGTTTAGGTGGAGGCAGGGATTAGGTTACTGTTAATTGGCATACTGGACAATGGATAAAATTAGTTTTAGTGACTTTAAAGACATAACGACTGAGAACTAAAAATTCTTCATTGATACATGCATTAAAACTTTGTGAGTTATCAGTAATTGTTCTAACTGTTTTTTTCCTGTTTGTTACTTTTTATTTTTAGATGTGTACGAAAAACTTCATCTTCACAAAAAAGAACAGCTACTGGTATGTTATTTCAGTTTCACCATGCAGCACCTATCATTAGAGAAATGAGATAAAGATTGTTTCAAAGATAAAATTTTCATGCCTGTAGTTGGAAGTTCAGATTTCTGAGGAATGGTTTGATTGTTGTTTAATGCCTCTTTTTTCCCAATTACCAATTTTGTATTTTTTTTTCAGTTACGTGCAATTTCAGTCCCAGAAATAAATTCTCACAATATAAGCCAACTTGAAAGGGTTCGAAGACGTGAACGGTTTTTACTTGTTCTTTGTGCACATGTGTTTAGGATACATTTTTGATTTTACCATGGATATTTATTTGTATGGATGGATTATGATAGATGAAAAATGTCTGAAGTTTTCCTCCGGTAAAATGAGTAGGAAACGAACGAGGAGATATTTTGAAAATGTATTTCAGTTTTTTGAATTACTACAGGATAACATTTGAGTATAGGATATATTTACGAATAATTCTATTTTCAAGGTATTTTCATTCATGTTGTGAATATTTCTGAAATCATAGCTTACAATAATACAATTAACGGAAATTTAGAGTAGATCGATCCAAGAAAATTTGTGCTTACTCCAAACGATTTATGATGTTCTTTTATAGCTTAGACCTTGAACAAAAAATCAATTTCCTTAGGAAATTCACTATGTTTGAACATATTTTGAAATATTTTGTTTATTTCATTTAAGTTGTCATTTGTTGTAAGCATTTCGTATCATGTTCAAAGATGCGTATTTTGTCGAAGAGAAAGTAAATAAGTCCGGTCAGCTTCCTTCTTCATATCTTTTCTTAATGGGAAATTGATTTTCTACTGAAAAAAAATCCTGGCAAGGATAAGAGTTATGCTAACTCCGATGATCATATAGTATCGAAGAGTTGTATGGGTTTCAGAAACTTTAGATCGGGAGCAGTACAACCAGCAAAAAGCAAGCAAATTCCGTCTGCCTTCACTCTGAATCAGAACCATTATCCACTTATCACTGTATGAAATAAAAATGAAATGCTTTGATTTTTGTCCGACAAGTTCAATGATGGCTCTTTTTTCTCTCCCGATATCTGGTATGTCATCATTATTATCGGAACCACTTAGTGCACGCGTACATAAAAGAAGTCGTAGTAAATGTTAGTAGAACTGGGAGTTAGCAGTGTTATTTTCGTAAGCAGTATTTAAGATATCAATTTTCCAATATCTTGCGAAGGAATGGTTATCAGATTTAATCTTCCTTCTGGAAGCGATCAGCTGCAGCCATCATCCAACGAAGTGGTAAATTAACAAATGAATACAATTTGTTGATTGTTATAATTGACTAGGAGATGAAGGTCATTTGTTGTAAATTGTGAGAATATAGTCTTTTTTTTTTTTAGTCGGAAATTTTCAAAGCATTGGACACCATTTTATTTATCTGACAGAGTGAGGAATTAAATAAAAGTAAGAAAAGCACAAATATCAGAAAAAGTAGTGGATAAATTCGGCAAAAATAAATGATTCCGTAAATTGATCAAATTTATCTCAGATTACTGATATTTAACCGAATCAATGTCAGTTTTTTTCTAGATATTATCAGCGTGATAGTGCTAACAGTGATTCAGCATTATTCGCTAAAGGTATTCATTCATCTTTGCAATTTATTATTCATTGAACTTTGGGAGTTCGGGTTAATTCATTTTAATCGACCAATATAAACAGTAGTATTCTTGATATTATCCTCCAAACTTTCGAGTATGTATCTTCTGATGATTATATCGTTAATCCTATTCATTTTATCGCAACATATCCACATTAATTAACTGCTATTAAAAATAAGTTTGGAAAATCAAAAGAACGAAAGAAAAAAACTCGTTACTACGAGGTAATATTTTTTCTTTTCGGTTAATTAATATATGTAATTAATGATACAAATTTTGAATTTGCCATGGGTAGAATTGAAAATGATCCTATATGCAATTTTTTTGCTAAAATTCCCATTGTATGATATTTACCATTTTATAGTTAGCACCGATAACTTCGTATCCATCATATTTTGATAAATTTAAATAATTTCAAATTCATAGAAGAAATTCATTGATGTTCAAAAACTTCATTTATTAGATTTATTTTGTGGAATAAATCGAATTCCCATTTTTCTGTTTACAATTTTTGCATTTTGCATTAGTAATAAATACTTCATAAATTCCATCAAAATCATTGATAATCTTAAAAACAGAATTTTGATTTAGTTCAGGAAGAATAAATGATATAATAATAAATTTTTGAAGAAAAGATTACCATACTATTACAACAATTGACAGGGCGCATTTTCAGATTGTTCCCGAGCAATTTGCACATAATGGGGAATTGTTGGTGAACAAATGATATGTACCACATCGAATTCCATTTTGCTGATGTAAATTCGACTAATCTGATCTTTTTTGTCTAAACAGCCAATAGCTGGAGCTAAAATATTAAGAATTAGAATTAGCCACGTTTGTGTGGAAACTCTGCATCATCGAGATTTTTCAAAGTATAAAAATTTTTTTTTAAAAATCTTCATGAAATTGAATTAATATTTAAAAAGCGAAAAAGTTTTTGCCTTTCAAAATGCTCTGATTATTTGTTCTTTCGATAATTTGCTGATAATGCAATGGCCTTCGTAATATTTTATCAATTAGTATATGGTCATTTGCATTGTTTTGATGACCTTCAAATACTGAAACAAAAGAGAGAATTATCTTTTTGTTTAATTTTAATTACTCCTCTCTTTTCTATTAATACAATTGAAATTTTTAATTCTTTCATACAAAAAAAACATTCATAATTAGCAGCTAATGTAATTAATTAATAATCTAAAATTTTTCATTTAACATATTTTCAACTATTTCCATTTCTATTTCCATTTCATATTTTTCTTAGTTAAGCAAAAAAAGGAAGGTAAAGAATGAAGGAAAAAAGTTTTAATTAACAAACCAAAATCAGCATAATTACAAAATGCATTCATAATATCGATGGTTGAGCAAATGCTACATGATGATTTTTCATTAGCAATCAATGATTCCGGTAAAATTTCATACCGGAAACCAGCAATTCGTTTTTTCCAAATTCGCATTTTATAAGTTTCAATAAAAAGTAATATGTCTATTTTAATATTCATACATTTTTGAAATTCTTTCGCTACATTCAATAAACGACGATTGCTTCCATCTGTAAGTTGCAAGCTTATTTTTACCAAACACAATTATAAATTTAAGTTGTTGAAATTTTTCAATTATTATAATTTTTGCAAAATTTTTATTTTTTTTGCTTTAAAAAAAGGAGAAGAATATCTTATGTATATGTACATACCCGATATATGATATAATATTTTATGGGCCGGAATAAAACGAATTCGAAGACAAGTTCTTTTTCCACTTAAATCTTTCATTAAGAATCGAATATGCATTCCACCAATTGGATCATTCCATTGAAAATAACCACTGCTACATGATAAATTTACCTTTTGAATCATTTTATCATCAATTCCACCACTGAAAATTAATCAATTTTATATTATTAATTAATCGATTAAATTTATCTTAAATTACTATAGCATATAATAAATTTGCCTTTTTTGAATCGTTTTGATAATTTTATTACTACCATTTCAATCCATTTTACGCATTCTTTTAGCATTATGTAAATAAACAATTTTTACTAATTTAAAATGAAATAATTTCTTTTATTGCTTTTTACATTTCAAAAATGATTAATATAATTGAATGTATTATTATCCAATGATAAATGATAACGCTTATCGTTATCATCATTTATGAAATTCTTTGCAAATAAAATTATAATAATTCATTGAAAGAAGGAAAGGGAAAACGATTATGTGAAATGCTATAAAATAGAATAGAAGGTGGTAATGGTTGATGATTACAGTATAAAGTCAATTGAGCGTATATAATATAAATGGATTTGAATAGTAAAAGATAGGAAAGCTTTTATGAGCCAAAACATACAGCAGCTATCTTTTAATCATTTAAATCAAATCAAAATTAAAATTTCAATCGAAATTTTATTTTTCTCTAAAAAAAGATGAAAAGAAAATACGACATAAAAAAAAATACAATTTGAAGTGCGATCGATAATATATTATCGGATGATAATTTGTACAATTGATTTACTATTCATCCTAAAAATTTATTTCCTTTTTTTTAAAAAAAAAGATCATCTTAGATTTTCTCTTATTACAACAATTATGTGCAACAGCGCGTGTAACCGTTTCGACATTTCAAAAAGAAAAGAAGGAAAAACGAAGGAAAACGATTTTTCTTCTGAAATAAAGAAATGAGACAAGAAAAATCAACGATGAAAAATTATTACACATATTTATTTCATGTTAATATTTTAAAAAAAAAAGACGAATTAATTGATTATTAATTAATTTTTAAATGTATAATTTATTCGGCAATTTTCATATTCATTTAATTGTGTATACTAAAATAGGCAAAATAATTGTTAGCCATAAAAGATATTTCAAAATGGATAAAAGAATGAAAACAAAACTCTAAAATCATTTAACAGTAATTTTAGTGATAGATGATTAATTTCAGCTTTAATATTACAATTGAATTAATATTTTTTTAAAACTATTTTAACTAATAATTCTTGTTTCTCGCTTTTGATCGCATTATGCAAATAATTCGTCTCAAAACTTTTAATCTTTTAAATTAAAATTCTTTTCTATTATTTTTTTATTAAAATCTGTAATGAAAAAATTTGTAAAATGTAAACAACATTAGAGAAAGTCAACAAATGATGCAATTTTTTTTGCTTTTGAATGTTACACTTTTTTAAAATAGCAAAAAAATTTTTTCAATTTTAATTTATTTACTTTTCGCTTTTTAAATTTTAAAATTAAGTCATCAAAAAATTTTCAAAATTAAATTATCAAAATGTAAGTATTACTTTTTTTTGATATTTTTCTGTGTGTAAAAAGAAGTCACATGACAGTCAAAGGGGTCATTCGATTCCCACACACATACACTTGTCCATTAGTTACCCATTCAACTTATTTCTTATCTCAAGTACATCAATCCGGTATGATATTTGTGATGGGAAAAAGTTTCTGCTTGCACAGAAATTTCGAACTTCTCGAAGTTTCATTTATTAAAAATTTTGCACCCAATAATTTATACTTCTAGAATATTTAAAATATATTATTTTTGCTGAAATGATTTATTAGAATATATTATTTTTACTGAAATGATTTATTTAATTTAATACTTAAAATAGTAGATTTTATATATAGATATGTTCATTACCTTGAATGCCATGAGCAATGCGTATTATATTTCCATTCATTCATCATATCATTATTATTGATATCATCAATAGTTAAAGCATTAAATTTGCACATGTAAAGAAATAACATTAATAGTTGAAGATGAAGCGATCGGTTGCCATACCAAATATCATCACCATCATCATCATTATCATCATCATGAATCATTCTTAATTGCTGAAATGAAAGAAATGATTTGATTATCATCAACATCATTAATCAATGAACATCATTAATTGTTGAAATGAATCGCGAATCATCATTATCATCATCGTCATGAATCATCATTAAATGCTGAAAAGAAAAAATGAATCGCGAATTATCATCATTATCATCATCATGATCATCGTCATGAATCATTATTAATTGCTAAAATGAAAAAAATAAATTGCCAATCATTGATACATTAATATATAAAAAATATAAATTCCAACTCCTCATAATACAAATCCTGCACCGTTAATGTCATATTTCCCGATTCTTATGGTATAAATTCTGATCTCATACAGTATACACATCCCTACCTTTTAAAGTATACAACTGACATAATATATCAGTCCTCCCCTAACACACTCATCCCGATCTTTCAGCAAACGCTCTTCAACTCTCGATATTTTAAGATACAGATTTTATTCACATACACTATGTTACAATGCAAATCCCACCTTTACAAGTTTTCGACCACACCTACCCGATAAATTGTTGAAAATTTTCAAATCTCTCAATTTCAGAGTAAATATTTTATTCAATATAAATATGCTTATTGATTTAATCTGTCAATGATCATTTTATACTTTCATTTCATTTACTAAAAAAGTAACATCGCTAAAACTTACAAATTTTTCAATATATTTAAAACTTGCAAACTTTTCAATAAATCATTTATTATTCCATAAAAATTTATTGTTGCAACATTTTTGAAAAGAATATAATCATTTTTTAATTTATCTTTAATTTCTTTAAAAATATTTTTTCAAAATAAAATTCGTAATTAAAAATTTTAGGAACATAGTATTTCAGTATAACACGAATATGCTATGAACACAAATTTAATCTTATTTTCTTGTTTAAATTTCATTTATCTCAATTTATTCTTACTTTTTTATTTATCTTCATTTTTATTCATTTATTTAATAAATTCATCCAAAATTTTCCAATTTAAAATTTATTTAAATTTTCTAAATTTCTTTCACTTTTCTTATTACTTTTGACATTGTTTACTATTTCTCTTTTAATTTTTTTCTTTTCTTACTAATATTTTTTAAATATTATCACTTTTAACTTATTAACCAACAATGAAAATCATTATATGTATGATTGATTATGCATACCTTTTATATTTATGTAATTTTAAATTTTTTTGAAAGGATTAATTAGTTAGAAGTTAATATTTGTGATACAAAGAAAAAGTTATTCCGACTGAATAATTACTATTGTTGCCTTAATTAATGGTTGAAAATGACCATACAACCATCTTTTATCCATTCAATCATCTCTTTTTTTCACTCTAAAGTTGGAAGCACATCTATTTTGTCTAATACATATACGTATATATACGTATGTATATATACATATATACACGTATATTATACATATACACACGCGCATGCACAAACATGCACACAAACACGCATGCACAAACGTACGCATACACACGCATGCACAAACGCACGCATACACACGCAAGCATAGATGTACACACGCAATCATAAACGTACGCATACACACGCAAGCATAAACGTACGCACACAGACTCCAGTAACACTGAAACATAGAGGTAAAGAAATAAATCCAAATATTACATAAATAACCTATAATTTAACGTATTGTCTTAAAATACCCCGTAATTTAATTGAAATTATTTTTTGCAATTTAAATTTCTCCTAAAAGCTGGCAACTTCATATAAATATATTTTTAATAATAAAAAGTTTCGTTTACGAAAAAACTTTTAGCTTTTAGTTTTTTCATTTTCTTTCCTTTCAACAAATTAATTAATCGCTGATATTTTGAATGATTTCTATTTTAATAACAAAAAAAAGTTATTTTCAAAAAGTAATGTGAGTTACGACAAATATGCAAATTTTATTATTAAATTTGATAAAATAAGCTATTATCATTTGTAAATATTCTTTAAAAAATTTCTCATCGAAATTATGCCCGAGGAAATATCTCAGATATTGCAATAAAGATATCTTAAAAAATTATGTTTTACAATCCTGAGAGAGTATTGTAAATGTGATGAAATAAGAAATGCCGACAAAGGATTTACAACTTCTCATTTTCAACTTTATTGTTCACAAAATTTTATCGATAATCCATCATTGTGCCACCTATCTAAATCAATCAAAACAGTCAAAATTCTTGCTGCCTCAAAAAATTTTCATACAAGTAAAATTTTCCCATACATATGAAATTTTAGCTGATAAATATTAGCTGTAAATATTAGCTTCAAAATGTCTTAAATTAGTCATTGTAAACTTTAAAATTTTCACCTAATAAAATTATAAATGAAAATAATTCATTTATAATTCGTAAACTTTAATTCATATTCATTTGAATTGAAATAATGCAAAATATTGAAAATTAATTAAAATATACATTCTCTCAAAGCAAACAGAGAGAGTAGGAAATATTGAAAAACTTTTCTTTTCTTTCTTTATTTTGAAAAGTTTAAATTATATTTAAATTTGACGGAATTTAATTTTTTTGTAACTTAAAAAGTTTTTATTTAGATATAAATAAAATTCATTAATATTCATAAATTCATTAATTCATTAATATTCATAAATTCATTAATTCATTAATAAAAATTATTAAATAAATTGTTTAACAAATTTTTAAGTTTTCATCACCTTTTATGTTCCAATATTTGACATTTTAATATTTTCTTCTTTTTTGTTTTAACTCATATTAGTTTCGAATGAAAATGAAATTGATGGAAGAATACTATCATCAATGATTATCACTGAATATCATTGATAAAGCAAAATTATGTATTATGCAAATATCACAAAAATGCTACTATAATATTTTTTTAAATATCAAACAAAAAGAAATAAATAATGCATCCATCATGTTTACAGTAAAAACATCGTTCTTTTTTTCTTTATGAGATGTAATTCATTAATACTTTTTAATGTTTTTGTTTTACCAAATTAATTATAGGCAATAATTGATAATGAAAGATAAGTGGAAATTTCAAAAAATTCGTTTTTTTCTTTTGAAATCTCAAAATAATTTGAGTGAGAATAACATATCAAAAGAAGTAGATGCAAGATGTAATTATCTGATGTGACAAAAAGTTGGAAGTATTATTCATAGCTGTCAACTTTCTGCTACTATCAATTAGTAGAAAGTTACTCAAAAAGTTTTCAAATCACTGAACAGTAAGTTATGGGAAAAAGAAAATTCAACGAATAAAGTATTTCTTCTCTTCATTTGTTAATTTCGACATATATCAAATCGTATATTATCCAAAGGAGGCATTTTGTTTGAATTTTTCATTTTTGAATTTCTTTGATCTTATGAAAAATTTCTTGACAAACTTTCACTTATCAATTTTTCTATCACTAATCAAAAAATATTTTCAAGGCGTTTGATAAGAAATATCATTATATATTTCAGTAAGAAAATTCAAATTTTTAATAATTTTAATTGCTTTTTAAAGAAATGTTGTCAAATAGATAAGCTAAACAAATATTGTCAAATAAATAAGCCAAGTAAATATTGTAAAATAAATAAGCCAAGCAAATGTTGTTAAATGAATAACCAAGCAAATATTATCAAATAAATAAGCTAAACAAATATTTTCAAATAAATAAGCCAAGCAAAAAAACCTTATTGAAATATTATTCGACAAATAAAAGAACGAATGGAAGAAAATAAAGAATATTGATTGATTAGTTTATAAAATAATACATCCATTGTTCCATATCAGTAGAAGAAAAGAAAAAGTGAATGATTGGTAAAGATCAATCAAAGTTTCAAATTTCATAACGGAAAATAAAAAATACAAAATAGGAATACCTGCTGGGATAGGTTAATAATAAAGAAAAGATGTGAGATAATCCGTTACATCTTACCTTATAAATTATAATTTCCGTTACATCATACCTTACAAATTATAAATCATATAAAAATGAATGAACAATTAAGTTCATAATTATCTATCATTGATTTTTTTCCATAGCAATCATAAAAATGATGAAATGATCGAATCATATGCTATCGCATTTAAATTAATATTGTATTTCTTTAAATAAACAATTATAATTTGTAATGAAATACTTTATAAACTGAATTCAATAAAATCGTTATTCATTTAAAATCATAAATTTTATTCTTTGAATAATTATTAAATTCAATTTATTAAAAATTTTTTTAATTTCTTTTTTTGATTCTTCATTTTTGTCGAAAATTTTGCAATTTTAGAAAAATTAAAAGAAATATAATAAATAGGAAATGTTAAGTTCAGTGCTGAAATTATGCATAAATTAATTTCTACAGTAAGATAATTTAAGCTCTTAAGCTTTATTTGTGCATTTAAAAGAATCACAATAATAATTAGTAGTTAATAAATGAGATTAAAAAATTTATGCGAAAACAGATATTTCTCTTTGACAATTCCTACGAAAATAAAATTTGCAAAAAATTTATTTCAAATGATTGAATTGAATTTAATTTGATTAACAAATTAAATTCAAATTTTATTCTTTAACAAATTGAATTCCATCTTTTGAATTTCTTTATTATCCATCATTTCTTATCATTCGTCGTAATTCTTCCATTAATTACCACAATAGTCTTTCTCACATTTAATGCTTGCTTTTATCGACTTTTTGGAATCTAAAATTCATTTAAATGTTAATAAGAAAGTTTTAAAAGATTTAAAAGAAGTAGAATTAACGAGTAATTCAATTTTTGCTTACTTTTTTGTAACTTTTTAGATTAATGTGTTTTTTTACAAGTTAATAGGATCAATCATTTATTTTACTTATCAATCATTTTACCTTACTTATCAATCATTTACTCTACTTATCAATCATTTACCTTACTTATTAATCATTTACTTTACTTATCAGTCATATACCTTACTTATCAATATCTACTTTACTTATGTAATTCTATTTATAAGAATGCTTTGAAAAAGCACATAGGCTAATTTAGTGCTTGGAAGAAGTATATAAAGGAGTTTAAAGAGATTTGAAAGGGTTTAAAAAATTTTTAACTCTTAAAAAATGTTAATCTTTTTTCAACGTAATATTATGATTACCATTCATTATATTCATTATATTTCTCTACAAATCATTATATTTGCAAAAAATCATTATATTTCTCTATAAATCATTATATTTACCACATGGTCGAATATAACATATAGTTATATTATATAATTTAATTCACATAAAAAAATCGAACAATATAAGAATAGTTGGTTGGTAAGTATATAATGCTTCTTTGATAAATTTTTTCCAAAATAAAATTTAAAATCTTTGTAAACTAATAAAATTTAATTTCATCGTTATCCAAATTGATAAATGGAATAGAAACAAAAGAAAATATCCAATTGAAATATTGGTACCAGCGCAATTATTGAGGAAGAAATCGGATGATTTAGTAGCTTCCAAATCGTTAATATTTGTTTTAGTAGTATGTAGATAGCAAGTTCGAGTATTTTTAAACCAATTAACTGAATAACACTTTGTTCTATATACTTGTTGCGATATGTCGCATCTCATCAAACATTCCACTGAAGTATTTTATTCTATTAAATTTTCTGGAAAAGTATAAATATGATGATTTATATAAGAAATGCAATTAATATATTAATGATAGTAAATAATAATATTATAATCCATTTATTAAATAAAAATTTTAATTTCCATTTTTTATTGCAAATAAATAATTAAAAACATTACATAAAATATCAAATCATAATTTTCCAAATTTAACTTTATTATTCCTCCTTTTTATACAGATTTTCCATATTCATATTGAATTTGCATAAGTTACTTGTTCATATTTTTTCTAATCTTATATATTTAGTAATATTCAGTGACAATCACATCTTATATATTTAATAATATTCGGCGATACAATTGTAATGATAATTTCTAATGATACCTATTATCACTATCAGATGAATATATAATAAAACAAATTAGAAAACGTTGGAAATAAATTAAATAATTTCGAAATTTTCAAACGTACAAAAAGTAATAAACAATTAATGCATAATATATTTTTATTATAGATATAATTTAGGGAAGATTGTTCACACTGGTCGATATTAAAATATTCACTAATTAATTACTGCTATAATTGATATTAATTATTTATCCGCTCAACCTTATTGAAATGATCATCGCTTTTTTCCTCTATCTCTGAACTATTGGAATTTTTTTATTTTAAATTTTCTCTTTTCTAAATTTTAAATTTAAGAAAAATTTGGAAATTTCCGCTTTTATAATATTACATTTCTATTATTAACTATGCATTTAAATAATTATGATAATACAACAAAGACTGTGAAAGCTTTGGATATTAAAAATTTAAGTGATGAAGTGAAATTTTCGAAATTAGAAATTACAATATTTGTAATAATAGTAATAAATTATTGCTATTAATTAATAACTTACACGGCGTATTAATATTTTCCACAACAACACCATTCAATGTATTCATCACAGCATTCTCACATATTGAAAAACATTTTTGAAGTTTAGTTATATTGTAATTGCCAATTGTATCTGTCAAGAAAGAAAATTTTTTTTAATTTTTTGCAAATTTTTAATGAAATCATTTTATCTGAAAGTATGTAGTGATTTTAATTTTTAAAAAGAAGTACCATTTCCTTCTTATAGCGTATTTAAATTAAATTTTTTTTAATTGTCACTTTTTTTATAAACTTTAAACAGAAGAAAGAAGATAATATAATAATGTATTATATAGTATATATTTGTGTAGATTTTCGTGCTGTTAGTTTATTTTCTATGATATAACACTTCAAAAGAAAGCTTCTGACAATGCTGAATTTTGTAAAAATTTAAATGTCTTACAAGAAAAAAAATATTTCGAAAATGAAAACTCTAATCGCATTGCATATTTCATTTAATTTATTTCATAAATAAGCTTAAAGAAATTTTAAACCTGAAAAACCTAATTTCAAATCTCTAATATTTCCGGAATGAGAGTTCTCTTGTAATTCTTTTTCCAATTACCCAAAATTCTAAAATCTCTAATATTCCCAGAATAAGAGTTCACTTGTAATTCTTTTTTCGATTACGCAAAAATCTATTACTAATAATTTTATTTCATTATAATAATACTGAAATCATAATTTATAATACTATATAATCGTTACTAAGATGAAGATAAAACAAAGAGTAAAATAAAATTTCAATAATTACTTCTGAATTTATCAATCGTTAATTTTTCTTTCATTCGTATAAATATTAATTAGAAGACAAAAGAAAGGAAAAAAAAGATATAAAATTTTACTCTTATTTCTTCTTCCTGTTGATTCTTGTTTTCGTACATTCAAACAAACATATTCGTAGTAATCTATTGATAAGGACGGAATTAATTCAGCACTATTGATAATTCGATTGCCATCATTTAGGATACATTCCTCAAATTTTATTTCTCATAAAATTATAATCGACGATGGTTGTTGTAATGATAATTTATTAAATGATCTGTTTGATAAATGATTTGTTAAATATTGATTGAAATTTCTTTTTGGAAAAAGGACAAATTATTGTTAAATAATAGAAAAATTATGAAAGAAAAATTCAATTAAAAAATTATAATAAAAATTTGAAAGAAAAATTCAAAAGAAAAAAATTAAAAATTTAATTAATTAATGATTAGTCTTTCTATAAAGAATATGTAAGATTAAAAGAATAAAATATTCATATTTTAATGAATAAATATATAAGTATGGAAGAATGCAAATATGTTAATATTTCGTTTTTACTTCTTCTTTTACAAGATATTATCAAAAATTTTATGATTGTATACATAATTTATTCCTTATTATAGTTAAATTGAGTAAATAAATATAATTTATATATAATTTTTTTTTAGCGTACATAATTTATTAATTATTACAGTTAAATTGAGTGAATGAATTCATATATAATTTATATAGAATTCATTTAAAGTATATAATTTATTATTATAATTAAATTAAGTGAATAAATTCATGTATAATTTATATAGGATCCATTTAACGTATATATTTTTTTTTATTATTATAATTAAATTAATTAAATAAATTCCTTTATAATTCTTCTATAATTTATTCATCATTACAATTAAATTGAATAAATACAATTTGAAAAAAGAAGTAATTTAAACTTACTTTCGTTAACTTATTGTAATTAACGCTTAAACATAAGAATGCAATCCGTAAAATACAATTATGTAAACAATCTTGTAAACTAATTTCTTTGATTATTTCTTGTCCATAGCCATTTAGTTGGCTAAAAAAGAAAGAAGAAAAGCTGTCATATTTCAAGAAAAAATTATTGTATATAAAAATTGATTGATCAAAGTTTTAAACTATCGAACACGCTGTCAGCATTTATAATATATCAAATAAACTACAACTGAAACACCGAACACGCTGTCAGCATTTATAATATACGACAAATTAAGAAGTTAAAACAAAAAAAAAGGTAAAATTTAATTTATTAATGAAAATTTTATTTAAAGCAAACAAACTTATTTGCAAAATAATGAAAGCATTTGAGTTCTTCAATCATTTCATTATGTATCATTTGCTGATTGTTAGGATTTTGCTCAATAATTCCAATGTTAAGAATATAATTATGATTTTGATTTGATAATTCGGAATCTTTCATGGTTGTGTTCCATTCCGGAATTAGTATATTAATGGGAATAGGAATAAATTTTAATGCAGGAGTAACAGTTGTAGTAGTAGTAGTGGTAATAGTAGCGGTAGCATTTGCAATAGTTGTAATAGTAGTAGTAATAGTATTATCATTTATAGCAGCTCTAGTAATAATATTATTTACAGAAGGAATGGTAATAGTTGCTAAGGATGTTGAAGCAGTGGAGGTAATTTTAGCAAGCGGTGTTTTCGCATATTGAAAATTACGGTGAGTAGTTACCGGATCCGGTCTAATAGCGACATTTTTTATCGTCCTTTTCGGTGTTAGTAAACTGCCCGCAACACCATAGGCAATATATTTTTTAGCAGAAATAGGCTTTTCATCATTTGATGATATTAAACTTGTATCATTATCCTCGTATTCATTATCACTATAAATGTCGTCACCATCATCATCATCATCATCATCATCATCATTTCTATTATCTTGGTCATCGTTGATATTATTATTATTACCGCAACCTTTTTTACTGCCATTATTGGTGTTTCGTTTATGATCATGATCAACATAATATGAGGTCGATTTTTGATTTATTGGTACAGTAGTTCGGGTTGACTTTGTAAACCTATTAATTTATTTAAATTATCCAATCGCATGAAATATGGCATATTTCAATTGGAAATTAAATAATATGTGAACTACTGAATTTTACTCATTAAATTCTTTCATTTCATCAATACATTAAATTCTATTTAATCGTAGTTAAGTAATAAAGGTATATTGTCATAGCAACTTAATCACATTTTTTTCTTCAGCAATACCAACAAGCTATAATTTTATATGTAATGATACTGTATGATAAAAAGCACTGATTTTTTTAATACTAATTAACAAAATTTAATTCATTTTCCTCTTATCGTTTATTAGGTATGAAATGCATTTATGCTATTAAATTGTTTTTGTATGAGAGATAATGGAATTTGTCAAAATGAAATTAATACATTAGTCATAACTTAGATAGTAATTTAAAATACTTTTTTGTAAATTTAAGATCAAACCTGTAAGCGTTTTGGCTAATAGCCCTTAGTGATGGGATATGTTGTTTAAGCGATGGTTTTTTCTTACTTTCACTATTTACAGTAATATCAGATGCACCAATGATTGATTTATAATTTTTGACGATACGATTGAGAGAATTTGGTAGAAAAAATCGTGCATTTGAAATTGACGTAGAAAATGTTGTTCTGGATGGAGCAACCGTAAAATGTTGAATCTGAAAATATAATTTATAACTTATTAGCAATTATTAATTATTACAAACTTTTTTAATTAAATTTTTTTAAAGAAAAAATTGGATTTTCGATTGTTTCAAAAGTCCTTTTTAATAATATAAAGCAATCATATCTTATCATTTTAATCAACCTGATTCCATGAAGGTAAGCAGATATTCTCATAAAAATCCATATATGCAATTTTTGAATGATATCTGATAAATATAGCAAAATCTGGACTCCATTTACTTAATATACATTCTCTCTGCACTTTATTTATCATAACTGATCGGCAAATGAATTCATAAAGTAACTGCGACTGAATATAATTTAATTTAAAAAATAAAATCAAATGATAATTGATGTATTTGCTATCATCTATTGTTATGAGCTATTGGAAGAAAATTTTTTCAAAAATATTTTGATCGAAAATGAAATCAAAATGAAATTTTGCAACTAATATTAATTAACAATTTAATGAAATAATAAATCAATTTTAAAATAAACTTTAAAATAAGATAACCTTTAAACAATGATCCAGACAGGAATTAATACTGTAAATATTTACAATAACTAAATTTCCATTCTTACCAAGATAATAATTTGGATAGTGTTTGAAACATTTCAATATAGTAGCTAGCGTTATTTGAAGCCAAATGCTAAAAGTAAAGTTTGGAAATTTATTTTTAATTTCTAATTTGATCTAATTGTTTCCAACTCTTTGATTGTTAGAGATGTTATTACTGTCTTATTATTTTATACTAATATATCATTTTAGCTCCTAGTTTTCAGGCTTATATTACCATTGCTTGTGACAGATATTAATTGACAAAGAAAATTTGCAGTTATACTGTAGTATAGTAATGTAATAACTTATTAATATTTATGGATGTTTCATATACAGTTATATATTTCTGATATTTTATTGATAAATATTTTATCAATGAATATCGATTGAATTCAATTATCGTCTTTTCTTTTCATTAATTTTTTGCATTTTATCTTTTTTTATTTTGTTGTAATCAAAAATTTTGAAATATTTGCTGATGTTAAAACTTTTCCGTAATATTCAGCGCAAATATTTATCATTCATAATTATCTATCGAAATTGAATTAATATTATATTAAACTTACATCGAAATTAATGCTTTAATGGGTGATAATGAGGTAATTAGAACCATGATAATTATAGCAATAAATGATGATAATAAAAATAATCAATTGAATGAAATGAAAGTTTCATTCTTTCAAACAAAGACTGTTAATTAGACTTTAGAAGGAGGAATATCGTAAGATTATTGCGTTTGAAGAGAATAGAAATGATAATTAAGAAATGATAATAACCGTATCTTTCAGATTATCCAAATCATCGTAAATTTTCGTAATAAAATGTAATCATTAAAGATAAAATGAGGAGGAAATATGAAAGAAAGGAGAAAAAGGAGACAGGAAATTAGAAGAGAGCAAAAGATTAATTAATGATAGAATAGCCGAAGGGGTGGTAAGAGAGGTAAGTTTGTTTTAATCATACTTGGTGACAACTTTTCATCTTTCTTTATCAATAAATATCATTAAATTTTCGGTAAACGACGTATACTTGTTTTAGAGAAATTTCCTGTTTTCGTAATTAACAATTCCTCTACTCTTTTGTGATATATGAAAAAAGACATCATTTATATTCAAATATCAAATTGGTTGAATGTGCACAATATTTTCATATAAACTACACGTTGAAATATTGTGCGAGAGATAATAAAAAACGAAAAAATAAAAATTTTAATTAAATGCATAAATTATAAATAAAAACAATAAATGATATTCAACAATATATTAGGCATTAATATTTGGAAATATATTTTATAGTTTACTGATTTGCTGTTTAATTTTCAAATTTGATTTAAAAGATGAAAAATGGGATAACCGGCGCCAAATGTCGCCTGTTCCATCTAACTTTACACAATCTAATTTCCAGGTTAATTTCGAGACAAGAATTCTTCTAATACAATAATATATATCTACAAAAATTACTCTTGAAAATTTAATTATGGTATGAAAGTTTAGCAAAAGTTATTGAGACTTTTGAAATATGCCAAGTAATAGCAAAACAGACAAAAATTAAATTCAATTATTAATTAATTTAATTCGATAAAACCTTATTGCCAGAATTTTGTGTCAGCTTATTGTCAATTAGAATTCAATGAAACAATTGATGCTGCTCAAAAATTGCAAAGAATCATTTCGGAATTTCTGCTTGGAGAATATTGAGCGATATAGGATATTCATGCAGAAATTATTTAAAAAATTATGATTATAGCTTGGACGAAGATATTTTGACTATTGCTTGAGAGATATCAATGAATCATATCTAAAACTGACAGCCATAAGAAAACGATTGTAAAATATAGCTTTACCGGTTTGAATAAAGCGCAGTATTTCGGAAAAATTGTAATTAGAAAGCGAAATACTGTCAACAGGAATGAAAAATGGAGTATAGAATTAGTTGCAAAAAAAATTGCAAATTCAAAATACGCAAATTATTCCACATTGTTTCCTACATTAAAACATAAGTGAATTAGATATTCAAAGAAAATTTTTTCGCTTTCTTGTAATAAAAATATTCAGATACTATGAAGATCTTCAAAAGGAAGATTCAAGCAGTTTAAGAAAACATATATAAAAATTATCATTTCAAATCTTTAAATTATTAATCATAATAAAAATTGAATTTTGCTTTCCATATTTGCTGCCAGATAGCATTTGATATAATATATTTAGCGAAGACGGAATTTATCATCCTTATTAGTAAGGCGGAAAATCTTAATATCATGTTCCTGGAAAAATACATTGCATTGATTACAATTGGTTCTTAGTAGCAGAAAATATTTTCTAACGGATTAGACAATCGAGAATATTTATCAGGTTTCATTAATAATAATCTTTATTAAAGGAGTAATTAACAAAAATAATGTGTGAAATGTATAAATAAAGCAACTTACTATATGAACTGGTTTTCAGCATTTCAGGCAATACTATAACCATATGTGATAGATAACCCATGAAATTGCAAATAATCATTTGTGCTGTGATAAGAACAAATTCACGACTGTAATTAATGCCTTGTTTGAGACAGAATAATGCGATGACCATTGATGCATTACTAATAATACCATAAACCAAGAAAATGATATTAAGTACAGCTACTATGTATTTTGTAATCATGTGATTCTCATTTCGTATGTCATTTCAATATGTCGTATTTCTTTCCTGACAGGTTACAGGCAATATCAGAAATAATACAATAATGTAGCAATAGCGAGTAAACATTTTAATTGATTATCTTTGACAGGAGAAAGAAAGGAACTTCAGTTGGTTGAAATACAAACAGCCTTGCGAGATTCAGAATTAGTATGTATTAATACGAAGCAATTATAATTTGATAGAGAAATAATATCTGCATTTCTCTACAAATTGTCATAGAAAACGCTTATAATTTCTGCTTTTACACGTAGAATCAGCGCTGTTTATTAATTTCAATTTATTAATTACAAATTATCTTCAATCCTTAGTTAACTCAATTTGCATGGCAATTTATTTTCTTCATTACGTAAGTCTTTTAAAAATAATGAACAATCACGGTGATTGAATGCAAAATAAATTGAAAACAATTAACTAATTACGATGAAAGGAAATAGATTTTTCTGCCTTTCAGCTGTCGTATATCTTTGTTGCATCACTTCAGTACCACGAACATTCTGAGAAGTTTTTCAAATTATATTATAAAATTATTTTAAAAAAAATATTTTAAATAAATGTAATGCACGCGTGGTCTGGAATATCTCTTTTGATTTTGACACGATGTCTAATTAATTTACTGTTGTTAGTGAATCAGTCCTTATATTCAAAGGAATCTGTGCATAAGATCAGATGAAGTCTGACAGATGAAGTAGCACGCAAATGAAGTAACACGCAGTTTAGGGTACTTATTAACTTTATTACTTTCTCGCTTGTCACTTACATTAAAGTATTATTATTATTACATATATGCATATGTGTTGTATTCATTATTACTACGATTTGTTGTAATAAAAATGATTCTTCACAGTCGGTGCGGATAGCTATTTTGCGAAGTTCCATTAACATTTCGCTTTTGGAATAACTGGACATCAAAATTCCGAAGAGATCGAATGTATGTGGTCATATTTAAATTAAAAGTATGGACGAAGTAATTCGACATTAAACCTGTGAACCTCATCAAAAAATCGCTATACTTCTAAAACTTATAAATGAAATTTTGATTCTTTGAAATGCTTCCAAATATAAAAATTTTATGCTTAGGTTATTATCAGCTACCATATCGCTATCCATATTCCAATATTTTGAATAGTGATCTTATTTTCCAAATTTTCGATTTCAATCAATCCAATTTTCAATTCGTTTCCAGCATTCGTCTTCGTAATTTCTGAACTATTTTTAATCGAAATAAGTTAAGTTGGAAAGAGAATTTAGAATTTTAGCAAGTTTTGCCGTAACTATTCAAAACTAATGGTAATAGACCTTTTTACTTATTGTCAATAACAATTGGAAATTCGTTGGATTTTTCGTCAAAATCAAAAAAGATTATGGTATTCGATAACGACGTATGCATTAAATTTATTCAAAATATTTTCGCAAAAAATTTTATAACATAAATTGAAAAAGCTTCTCAGAATACTTGCGCTGCTGGCAGCAGTCGCAAAAAAACTCCCTCATTTCCACAGATTATCAAAAAATACATTGCATTAGTGATGCAGTAAGACGATTCAACAGCTCAAAAGACTGGAAATAATTAGTTAATTGTTTCCAATTTATTTTGCATTGAATCGTCGTGTTTGTTCATTATTTTTAAAAGACTTACGTAATGAAGAAAATAAATTGCCATGCAAATTGAGTTAGCTAAGGATTGAAGATAATTTGTAATTTATAAATTGAAATTAGTAAACAGCGCTGTTTCTACATGCGAAAGGAGAAATTATAAGGATTTCCACGGCAGTTATAGAAGAAGTGGGAATATTATTTCGCGATAAATTATAATTGTTTTGTGATTAATGCATACTATAATTCCGTATCTCGCAATTCTTGGCAGTTTGTATTTCAGCCAGCTGAAATCCTTTTCTTCTTCCTGTCAAAGATAATTAAAATGTTTACTCGTTATTG